GCGTGTAGTAACTTCCTTGTAGATTTCTTTAATTAAAATCTGTAAGATAAGAATTTTTTGCAAATTAAAGTTTGTAAGCAAAACAATATCTAATAAGCTGTATTCCGTTGTGCGCCGAATATTTATTTTGATTTATACTGCACGCATGACTATAACCTGTATATATCTCCAAACTTACAGAATTTGCTGCAACATTAAACAATTGATCAAACTTCTCTTGAAGATCTTTATCTTCCCAGACTTCTTTCAATACGTTGTTCACCATACCAGTTTGGCAGGAACGTAACTTTTCCAAATTAATTTTTTCTACTCTAGCTTGTTCCAGAGACAGAAAATATTTGTAAGTTTCATCACTGATGTGAAGCAGACCCCTTTCCCGATATTGTAACGATTCTGTGATGGATGTGGACTCCAAGCTCGAAGAGGTGTTTTGCAAGGTTTCGTAAGGAACAATGATATTTTCTTGAAGCAATTCAATCTTTTCAAGTTCTTCCTTTAGCTTTCTTCTCACATGCGGCGTTTGCGATACTTTGTTTTCAAGGAGGTACCTGAAAAAATATATTAGATTTCAGGTGAACTGATAAATACACACTATATTTCAACAAATTGGTGTTAAATTAGGCCCCATTTACATGAGACGGGACCATTTTGTTTCGTTCATAGTATTATTTATAATAGATGTTTACATGCATGAGACCGGGACGAAAATAACTCAGACCGGTCTCAATTGAAACTTTTGCGATTTTTGTACCAGTCTCATGTAAACATGTAGTAAACATCCTCGTCCCCAGTCTAATGTAAACGGGGCCTTAGAAATTACCCGTCGAAAAAGGGCATTTAACATTGAAAATACATACCTTCGAAATTTTTGGAGTGCTTTTCGTACAGCCCAACCACCGACATATCGTATCTTCCCTCTTCCATCAGGACCCATGTCGCTTACATTAAATGGAATCGGACCAGCTTCTTTCTTGCGTACCAAGCTGCTCAGCTCATTGACGAATAATTGAAAGAGGTGGAAAGCCAACTGCGCGCCCAGTGTCCTTTGCCCATCGTTTAATTCTGACCACGAACTTTCCGAAAAGGCACTTATAACATCACTTCGATATTCATTCGAAAGAAAAAGCTGGTGCAATTTAGCCGTCGCGTAGGTGAAGTTGGTGTTGGTCATATGAACCTTCTCTCCGTTTTCCGACAAATATGCTTCAAATAATGCAAAGACCCTGCACCAAATGATATGCGCCAGCAAGTGAAATACTTCCAAATGAGCAAGGGCGTAATTTGCTGCAGATTTAATAAACGAAGTGTATGAATCACCATGCTCATCATTTATGATACTTTCTAGAAAGTCCTTTACTGACAAACGCTTCGGCAGCATATTTAAACTTTGCTGGAAATCACACATCATGAATAATTGTACGTTCTCGAGATTGACTTTAGCCCCAGTATTTGACTCGAACAACTGCTTTGCCATCACTTCGCCATCATTTTCGTCCGTCCATTCATTACTAACGTCTGGATGTGAGAAATGAGTTTCTTGAACGGCATTTAGCAAGCCATCCTCTAATGTCTTGCTTCTGCAACATTCAAATCCATCGACTTGGCCTTCAAAGAGCTTGTCACAATTGTCATTTGTAATGTTCCCAGTCTTTAGTTTTTCTGGCAAAGGGAGTAGGAATCGTGGCTGGAAATTAATCACTTGAAGACCTGCTTCGTTTCTCACCCGTGACAATGCAACGTAGGTTTGATTGGGGACAAACTCTTGAGAACAGTGGACAATAACTCTATTCAATGTTTGTCCCTGCGCTTTGTGCACGGTCATAGCATAACAAGGCGTGATGGGAAACTGTGTTCGAGTAGCCAATACACAACCTCGAGTGTCATACTCGTACCACGTCTTGCGCCCGACTTTCACTGTTCCTACATTTGGAAACGTGACAAGTAGTTGTTCGTCATTTTCAGCATGTACGCTAAGAAATGTTCCCTGGTAACCATCTTTCAGATATTTATTGACGTTATAGAGAAGCATTATTTTGCATCCTTGCTTGAGGGTCAAAGTTTTCTGCGACGGACAGTCCAATAACTGGGAATGGCCACTATCTCTGCTTTCAAATGTCAAAAGCGTTCCAGGAAATGTTGACAGAACATCGAGGTTATGCATCTCAGCTGGCAACTTCCTAAAATAAATATGTAACGGATGTTCCGCAGCATCATTGTTATCTAGGTTTCTGCTCGAACTCTTCCAGTATTTCGCCGTTTCTTCGTTACAATTTCCTTCGCGCAACTGGTCAAGGGCCTTTCGTAACTCAACTTCCGATGCTTGCTGCCTCAGGATAGTTTGAAGCTCTATTTTGTGAGGGAATACGGCATCAAAAAGCTCGGAATCATAGATAGATTTTCCAGGATCTAGCAGACTTCCCACAAGTTTAAGTTGCCAAAAATCGCCAACCAACAGGACCTGCATACCTCCAAACGCATTAGCGTTGTTGGACAATCTATGGTGTATGGCATTGACAAGTTCGAAAACTCGCATGCTTGACATTGAAATTTCATCCCACACGAGAACATCAACATCGCGTATTTGTTCGACAACATTATTTCTTGACAGCGATCGTTCCAGTAATAAAGGGCAAAGTAACTCCGCAGTTTGCAACCCATAGTGGGAGTGAACCGTGCTCGCAAACCCATCATAGGCGTCACACGCAATTCCGCTGGAACACACGATCTGGCACCTTTTTCCTGCACAAGTTAAAATTTTCCTTAGCGTTTCCACCACCGTTGTTTTACCAACTCCTGCCCGACCGAATATACAGACATTGTGTCCACTTAAAGCTGCGTCTACGGCCCTTTGCTGATCGCCTGTTAGCTTTATCGATTCACTATCCATTTGTGCATATAACTGTAATTTAAATATCTTCAGTTAATCGTTTAAAATAATATGCTAAAATAAACGCTTAGCATTTGCCCGACGGTCCCACCCTTTTGATATAATTATGACCATATTGACCTCACATAATTTATACTGACGTAGTAAGAACATGTCACGTGTGTCATGGAATAATTAAACTACATTCAAGCATGCGTGGTATATAGCAGAATGTAGTTATCTAAGAAAGGGGACAGTTTTTGATCGTTTATTAAACGAAAACTCTCTTTGGCATTGGTTTTAGGTAAACAATTCAACTGTTTAAACACATTTTAGACAGGTAATAGTGTTATTAACAAGTTTTTAGTTTGGTCTTGGTATTCTGCAACTTATTTTTTCTGTTTTTTTAGGTGTTGATTTTTGGCGCTTGTAGCTTGTTTTCGAATTCGAAGGCGACATTTTCGGTTATTTTTCTCATTTCAGAATGCATCGAAACATTTTAAATTGAGATGTATACAGATATATGGAGTGTTTTTCAACGTTTTCTTAGCTTTGGACGTCAGACGAGTTTCTGGATTTGCTGAATCAATTTTTTGAAAGTGTTCTCAAATCGTCGTAGAGTCGAAGCATATGAATTCGTGCAACAAGTCACGTAGACTGCAGAAAACTCGGAAACGCCAAAATGGGTTGTGTTTTAATCTAAAAACTGTGTGTATGTTGGAAAATTGGGCATTTATGTGTGATTATATTCGAGGCATTAACTCGCAAAACCTATTTGAGTGGACAATGTTGATGAAAACGGACATGCGAATACTTTATTCAACTAATATCTCAAGGTAAGTGTTTTTACACTATAATTTTCTCATCAAAGTTGACCTAAAATATATGGGAAACCTTTCATCTGACAGTTTTTTGCAAAACAACAGTAAAACAAGGCCATATTTATCACTTCCCCCCGGTTTTTGACACTAGTATGAAACGCGACTGGGGGGCTTTAATTTATAAATTATAATGTATAATTCATAGTTATACAAACAAAGTTATGAACTAACCATAAGAAATTGTTTTACGTTCCTTTTGTAGGTATTTTTCTGGTTTTGTTTTGCCATTTTTTGACGGCCGTTTGCCGGTATAAAACTATTATAAGTGTAGGAATATACTTTAATATACTTTCGTGAAAACGTTGCAGCAACTTGCGTAAAAAATATATATTTGTACCTGTTAAAAGTCTTGTTCTTTTGTTTCTTCACATACTGATAGCCTTCGTCAATATTTTTGAATTTATAATGAAATAAAAGATCTTTTTCTTAATATTATTTACAATTTTTTGTCTTTTTTATTTTCCCGCTCTTGCTCTCAAAAATACGTGCTTTCTCTCCCCCCCCGGTTTTGTCAAAATCTCTCGTACTTTGTTTACTTTTCTCGACCAATCAGATTCGTCTGTCGCCGCCATTGTGGGTATGTACTTACATCCCGCATATATTCACGAATATTTCGGTAAGTTTACGAAACTTTTGCACGTTTTTTCCAGTGCTTTCCTTGAGATTCCACACTAATTTTATGATATTAATATAGTTTGATTATTCAACTTAAACCTACGATAGACATTTAGCAGTTAACGTGCCGTTTTCCTACAGTAATTTGTCATTTAAATTTGTCAGTATATAGACAAATGAGGAATACTTTCCGTCCTTCCCAATAACATAGTAGGATACGTCACTAATTATATAGTCAAATCACAGCGCGACCGGAGCACGCTACGTGCACGATTCTAACAGCAATTTTATTGCTAATTAACGTTTTAATTACGGATTTTATTGAATAAAACTCGCTTGTTTGGGCTTCCTATGATTAAAAGTGATATTTTTTAGGCGATTTTTCATTTGTAGGAAACTAAGAATATTCTTAAAAAATTATCGTGTTACCATGACAACTACTTTAGATACTTCATGTTTGGAAAATACTATGGTGTTGTCAGCAAGGCGAGGGTTTCTGCATGCATGTATTTTCTAGTAGTATACTGTATGCGCTTAATCGGCTAAATTTTTCAGTATTGCGCAAAGCAGATTAAGGTGTGAAACTCAGGCGTAAAACTCCGATTACCTACCGTTAAATTTTAAGAATCGAAAGCGAAATATCGAGATGAGATGCAAGTAAGGACTTAGGATATATGAGGCGTGATATCCGCCAAATATAGTTATTCGACCCAGCGGATTGTAGATTACCTGATCTGCCAATAAAGGCGAAAAGATCGCCCAACGTGTGTGCGTGGAACGCATATTATATAACAATATTGCCGAGAAGACTACGTAATGGACGTCGCTATGGCCTTATCCGAAGCGGTTAACTGACCTTAATATTGAATTTGTACTTTTTTGAGACTTTTTAACCCTCGACTTTTTGCCCTCGACTTTTTACCCTCGACTTTTAACCCTCGACTTTTTACCCTCGACTTTTAACCCTCGACTTTTTACATTCGACTTTTTATTCTCACCCTCGACTTTTTACCCCCGACATTTAACTCTCGACACTCGACCAATAATTAAACTCGTCATATAACATGGTTTTGATTTTCTCTTTGGCAGTAGGTACTAGCTGTAGAATTAATTTGTCGAGTGCTTTATAATACTGCGTCGATATTCGCACGGGAATTGTTTTAATCCTTCAATGTAAACGACAAATATAACTAAAATATTAAGCCTAAGGCACCTCACTACATATTGTTTAATTGGACACAGTATAAAGGACTTACTTCTTGAACTGAACGCGATATTTCTTCAGTTAATTCATCCGCGTTGATTTGCAGCAGCTAAATAGTTTGATGAAAATCGCCTCCGTCGTTGTATCTGCGTCTCCAGCACCCAGAATTGGGTGAATTTTGCTTTCTGAATCGCATGCCGAACTTGTCGAAGCCATAACAAGAACAACAATGTCTTATTTTAAAATTTATAAGCACAATATTACATTTCTGTAATACTACGCTATAGTAATTTCTGAATTTGACGCACCCGAAATGTCAGAGTCGAGAGTCGACAGCAAAAGTCGAGAGTCAACAAAAATGTTATCAGAAATAACAAAGTCAAAATATTTTTAACACAATATATAGCCGTTCCGTAACAACGGCTGAACTAAAACTTTCGCATAAATATAGCTACAACAGTCAATAATAAAAACGTGAACAAAAAAGACTGGATACAAAAGTAAAATCACATGTGATGCCTTCATCTTGCTAAATTTTTAACATGTCATTTCATCAAATTTTGCTGCCTTTCAATGTAGACACATAAACAGAATTTTGACAGCCAGCTCTGGGCTTGTAACCTCGCTTGTAACTATACCGTCGCTTGCAACTAAAGATGAACAGTCGCAGATAAAACATTATCTACTCTCATGACAAAGTTCAATGTTTTTTACCGAGAAACTTCAATGTTTGTGATAATCATTTGATGGTTTAAAAAACAATGAATGAATGATTGACTAATCCTGATCTAGGCACGAAGAACAAAATCCATCACCACAGCTAGAAAGAGCATGTTAAATTTAGTAAACTTGCATGCAAAGTTTGGCCGCGAAATGTTGTAAAATGCGGAAAATATAGCCCTTCAATTTTGCAAATTTTGTATTAATTGCTATTACGCGCGGGAAAAAGTACCACTTTCGGCCAAATTATGGTGCATTTTCCCGCGCGTAAATACAAATAAATAAAAAATTTCCAAATTTCGCAGGGCTATATTTTCCGCATGTTACAACGTTTCGCTGCCAAACTAGTTGCAATTTTACTAATTTTAACATGCTCTTTCTAGTTGTGCTGGTGGATTTTGTTCTTCTTGCCTAAATCAAAATTTGTCTATAGCTGGAATCATACATTGAAACATACTTAAAGTGGAATTCAAGTCCGTATGTAAACAAACGGTTTGTTTACATTTTGAACTGCTGTATTTTTAAGAATATGACAGATGTACTGTCTGAATATTTAACACTCTTTTGGTTCGCTATACTTCTAAATGAATATGAAATAGAGTTTATGTTCAGAAAAATTCGAAACATTCGAAATTTGGGCAATGTTTACACTCAAAGGTCCTCTCATTGTTATGAGCAGAACCGATGCGCAGAACGGACTTGGCTTCCACTTTAAATAGAAACTTGAAACCATCAAATGATTATCACAAACATTGAAGTGTCTCGGTAAAAACATTGAACTTTTTCATGAGAATAGACAACGTTTTATCTGCGCCTGTTCATCCTTAGTTACAAGCGAGGTTACAAGCCCTGAACGGACGGTGCGAAGCGCCGTGAGAGGGTATTAATCCCCCCGCCCCCCGCTATTTACATCCAGAGCAACGAAAGCATTAGCGAAGTCTAAAGTTCATCAATGATCGCGGGCGTGGGTCACCAACGATGTTGGGTGTTGGATGGGTGATCATCATCACTGATCTCAAAAATATGGCGGACCGTCATGAATAACGGACACTGATTGGTCCAATTTAAAGTTTGCATTATAACGACTGCATGACGACAGCGAAATAGCAAACATTTCTTGATTTGATGATTGATAAATTTCTTGCAAATAGGTTTCATTTTACTCGCATTTTTGCAAGATTTTGTCAATTTCAAAAACTCTCTCGTCGTTAACGAAGGTAAGTTTGTTTTAAATATTGTTTTATAAGGCTTTAAAACCCGACGGCCTTTGCGTATATGAAACAACTATTGAAACAAGACAGCGTATAATATTAGTCTATCTTTAATATTGATTCCCTTTTTTATGATATTGAATTTTTAAATAAAAAAGAAAGCAAATTTATTTGCAAGCGAGATTTTGAAATAAATTAATACAAACTCAAAGTTCAAATAACACTTTAAAGCGTTTTGAGGACCGTTTGTGGTTGAATTTTACTTTAAATTGAGGCTTATATTACGTATAATAACATACCGAACATAACTAATAATTATGGGAAACTAATAATTTTGTAATTAAAAGCGATATTTTTAGGCGATTTTTCATTTGTAAGAATATTCTTAAAAAATTATCGTGTTACCTTACCAAAAACACAGAATTACAAATAACTGCCAGTATACTCAGATAACAAGAAAATACATGCATGTAGAAACCCTCGCCCTGCTGACAAAACCATTATATTTTCCGAACATGAAGTATCTAAAGTAGTTGTCATGGTAACACGACAATTTTTTAAGAATATTCAATATTCTTACAAATGAAAAATCGCCTGAAAATATCACTTTTAATTATAAAATTATTAATTTCCAAACATATATATGTTAGGTATGTTATTATACGTAATATAAGCCTCAATTTAAGGTAAAATTCAACCACAAACGCTTCGGAAAACGTTTTAAAGTCACTAGTGTTCTTTATATTAAAACTAATCTGCCTTTTAAAATGGCTTTATCGATAAACTTTGAGTTTGTAATAAAATTATTTCAAATTTTCGCTCGCAAATAACTTTGCATTCTTTTTTATTTAAAAAATTGAATATCATAAAAAAGGAAATCAATATTAAACATAGAATGAAATTATATGCTGTCTTGTTAGTTATTTCATATGCAAAGGCCGTCGGGTTTTAAAACGATTATAAAATCAATATTTAAAACAAACTTACCTTCGTTAACGTCGGCTCCCTTCTTTTAGCCGATTCTTTCGCAGTTTCTTTATGAGAGAGCTTTTGAAATTTACAAAAATGAAATATATTTGCAAGAAATTTATCAATCATCAAATCAAGAAATGCTTGCTATTTCTCTGTCGTCATGCAGTCGTTATAATGCAAACTTTAAATTGGACCAATCAGTGTCCGCTATTCATGACAGTCCGCCATATTTTTGTCATCAGTGAGGATGACCACCCACCGAAACATCGTTGGTGAGCCACGCCCGCGATCATTGACGAACTTTAGACTTCGCTAATGCTTTCGTTTCCCAAGGTGTAAATAGCCGGGGGGATTAGTACCCTCGCTCGGCGCTTCGCGCCGCCGGCTCGGGGAAAAAACAACAACCAGATATTCATTAACTAAGTATTACATTATTTATTATTAGCATGACAAAATTACTGAATGCTGATTGGTTGAGAGGAGTACAATTATTTCATTAATTGTACTGCAGTACAATTAATGATTTCCCCAAAACAAACAAAATGGCGGAAACATACTTTAAACACATGAAGCGTGAAATGAAATTGCCGTCGAGGAACTAGATGAAAATACGAACAAAAGCACCAAATTTTGCTATAACAAAAGAACTAAATGAAAATACAAACAAAAACACCAAATTTTGGTTGAAAGTCTGGCAGGACTGGGCTTTGGCAAGAGAATATGATGTTGACATTGAGAAGTACGTATCCAATTTTGTCATGCTAATAATAAACAAGTAATCATGCGATGTTGCTCGTACAATTAGGGATTAATGGTACTCGTGATGTTTGGAAATTTGCCAAATTGGACTCGCCCCGGCGGCTCGTCCAATTTTGGCAAAATTTCCAAACATCACTCGTACTATTAATCCCGAATTGTACTCGCCATCGCATGATTACCTATACTAACTATTATTACATTAATTTAACAAATCATAATAATGTTAAGTCAAATATTAATAAAGTTTAGTATAGATTTCCAGATGACTATTGATTTTTGTCCATTCTGATTGGTCAAGATTCGCTGTCTTTGACGTGATAGTCACTGGTCAGTGACTATAGCTTTTTGCTTTTTTTTTTCAAAATGGCAACTCGTTTTGCCGTAATAACAGAAGAGGAAATTGCCCAAATTAAAGAAGATAGCAATCCGGAAAAATAACAAACCAGCTACAAAATATGGTTACTTGATCATTATTTGTAAACACCTGGAAATTTATACTAAAACAATAGACAACTTGCATGTTAGACAAATTTTTGATCTAGCCGATCTAAGCAAAAAAAAAGTAAATCCCCGTTAAGAACTTATTAAAATGAGTAAACCTGCAAAATTTGGTTGCGAAATGTTGTAAAGCTTGGAAAATATAGCTTTACAAAGTTTGCATATTTTCAGTATATTTGTATTACGTGCGGAAATTGTTACCATTTTTGAGCCGAAAATGGTAACAATTTCCGCTCGTAATACAAATATACTGAAAATATGCAAACTTTGCAAGGCTATATTTTCCAAGCTTTACAACATTTCGCAACCAAATTTTGCACTTTTACTAATTTCAATATGTTCTTTTTAACTGTGGTGTCTGATTCCCTTTTCTCTGCTTAGATTAAAATTTTGTCTAACATGCAAGTTGTCCATTAGTCGCCACAGGCTCGGTGATTACAAGCCTATATTCATTTCGTCTTCGGCTCAGTGAATATAAACTTGTAATCACATCAGAATGGCTACCAGTCAATGAGCTTTTCAAGCTAGCTTATATAACAAATATTCACATTCATCATGTTACACCAGACCAATGCGGTCTGACAAGTCAGGTCGATATGTTATGGACAAATAATAATAATAATGGAAACTATATTTATTGATTATTAGGATATATACAACTACAATGATAAACCTCGCTTTACAGGTAGTTTTTCAATGTCTACTTGAATTGATACTATATATTTATTGTACAATAATTATTTTAAGAAGGATTATATTAGCATTAATTTTGGGTTATCCCACACCTTGTTTCGTTTACAAAATACATAATATGATGTTCGTATGCATATGTTCACGATTTGCTTTTTTATGTATTTACTATCCTTGGCATCACATTTAAGGCTACTTAGCATGCCATCGAAATTTTCAGAAGATCAGCCAAAAACTCCGAGGGTACTCAAGGATAGATTGACGAACTTGACTTTATCATAATCTGCTTCCTGCTCATTGATTAGATCACGGTACTTTTGACGCTTACGATTGGCGTTAACTTGCAGATTGGATTCATAACCGACTGTAAGCTCGAGGATGTATAGACATCTGTTTTCAGTCACCAGCAGAAGGTCAGGTCATAAACGATCTCCCGTGATAACAGATGGATTCATAAAACCAGGAATGTCCGCGTAAAGTGTGGAATTTTCACAGCAGTAAGAGTGGATGTGAGGAAATTTAAAACAGAATCGTGTCGCCATGTAAACCGGCCTTCGTCTAAATATGTCTTACATCCAGTAATCACATGGAGCAGCGTTTCAGGTGAGGAGCAGAAAGAACAATCGGATGTTGATGATAGTCCCCATTTTGATAGGTTCTTAACTTCTTTCGTGTTGGAAGTGTGTTATTGATATATCGGATGGTGAAGTTAAAAATGTTTTTCGGAAGTTTGCTCTGAACGGCTGACCATAAAGAGTTGAATGTGGATGTGGAATGATTCATGATACTGGAAAAGAAAGAACCTTGCGAAATGAGGTGGTTTTGAAGTCTTTGTTCGTTTTCTTTTCTAACTGCCTTAAGTACGTCTTTTGTGTCTTTGTAAATGTCATACTGTATGTTCTTGTTGGTGCTCGTCACCGCCCATAGATTGTTAATATCTATGTTTGGTGAGTATTTTAAAGCTGATCGAGAGACAGTTTGACATTGGATAAATTTTGTCGAAGAGAGAATAATATTCAGACCAAATTTGTTTTGTGGAAGCAACACGTTGCTAAGGGTTGCAGAGACAGGAAGTTCCAGCCATTTTCGGATATATTTTGTCGCAATACTGTCTAACGTTTCGCAGATCCAGGTCTTAGATATATCAGAAACAGTGAAGTCCCAGGATATCTTTGACAGCAAGTAACGACTATATAGTAGAATTTTATTTTTCGGGTGTAAAGGTAGTTCATTAATTTTATTCATGATGTCATTAAACACGTCGAGAAATTCTGATTTGTGTTCCTCATCAGACATATTGAAATCGAAATAGCGACCTAAGTAACGGAAAGATTTGCCCATTTCGGTTCTGGGTCCAAGATCGTTATTAACGAAAAGCTTGGGTAAATACTGGATAGATTTAGTTAAATGTTTTTTAATGCCAAATGTTGAACATTTGTCAACGCGTATAATCATATTAGCCCATTGACACCAGATTGTAAAACGATTAAGGAGAATTTGATTTTCTTTCTCTTGGCTACTGATGACAGTAATAATAATAATAATAATAATAATAATAATAATAATAATAATAATAATATACATAAAGATATTACTCGACTGTTATTGGTTGATTTCAGTGCAGTTAATCCCAAACGTACAGCAGTGCAATTTTCTGTAATCACAGTGCAATTTTTTGTAATTACTGTGCAATTTTGTGTAATCACAGTGCAAAAATCTGTAACAAACTGATCTGATTGGTGGAAAAACATTGTGATGATTAAATCAACCAATCACTTTAATAGCAGTTTAGTTTTAAAGAAGTAACGGTCACAGATTGCTTCAAAACAAAACAAACATGGCGCCACGCTACACAAAGTAAAAGTTGCCTTCGCGTGGAAAATATGGCTTTTATCTTTATTTTTAACTGGAAAAGCATTTACCTTAAACAAGACTAACAAAAAATACACAGTTGAGTGGAATTTTCAAGCTGTTAGCGTTGTATAATGTGATAAAACAAAGCTAGGAAAACTTTGCCAGTGGAATGTTCGCTATAAACGCGTAAGTTAAAACTACAATTGTCTCGAACATTTTTATGTAAATTATTAATAAGTAATAACATGGTTTCTCGTGAAATTTGGAAAAACATGCACTCGTGAGTTTTTCAAAGACCTCAAGTAGCACTCGTCCTTCGGACTCGTGCTATTTTGAGGTCTTTGAAAAACTCACTCGTGCATGTTATATCCAAATTGCACTCGAAACCGTGCTATTACCTATACTAATAATAATAATAATAATGATAATAATAATAAACACTTTATTTAAACAGGGTGACTAGAGTTACACGAAGTAATTTTCATCTAGGCCCTAAGAAGTATACTGTCTATTAATACTAAGACTATAAATACCAATAGTAAAGAGTTACTAAATCAAAAATATACACATAGGGTTAAAAATTATCGTTAATTGTTATAAACACAAGTCAGATATTATAAACAATACTCTATAAGGCCGACATGTTGCATGAATATAAAGAAATCTTAAATGAAACTTAACTATAAACACGAGAATCAACAAATGCTTATTTTAGCTTATTGACGCGAGAATTATGCTAATACACATATAGGGAATATTAAAATATCATATGTCAAACAATCATTAACAAAACCGGTGACTTTGGTACTTTGGTTTAATATAAACTAAAGATACATCATTATAAAAGCATAAATTTCTCTACCTTATTGCAGTGCAAGCTTTGTCGTTCTTACCTCGAAACAACATACTTCGGAATGTGGCTCTCAGACTCTGCGCCAAAATCTTTAGCGAGGCTTCTGCTTGCGTTGTTGTGTTGTTGATGGCTCACTTCGCCGCTCAGTAGCTCATCAACAGAATTCGTCCGTGATCCGGTTCCGAATTGTTTGCCGCAATCGCAAACTGAACATTATCGAAAATGTTTCCAGCTATCGCTGGTACAGATTGCTCGTAAAAATATAAAATTTCTCACATGCCAGACGTTCAAAATAGTAAACACTCAAGAGATAAACACCAAATGCCGTGTTGGCGAATACCCTACGTTGCGAATCCGTCGAAAATATAAGCCAATGACAGTGCAGAATTTTTTTAAATGGTTCAATCAGAAGGCTCATACATAGCCCCTGAATCTGAAAGTCCGTCCGGCCTCCCACAGATCCGAGGCAAATAGCTGTAACCATGGAAATGAGCATGTCAACCAATCAGATAGCCGGATTCAACCCAATCCACAACATTCATGTATAAGACCGCTGTTCGTAACTAACATTACTTTGCGGAAGCTCTGCCGCAGCATGAAACGTATAACTGGATTACGATTCAAAATTTTAATAACTCGATCTACTGGCCGCTAAAGATAGCAGGAGTCGAATTTTTTTTAATCAAGTGAACAATTTTCACTTATTGACTTACTTGACGCGCCTAGATCCGCCCCTGCAGTGAGGGACATTTCTAGCACTAGATTAATAAAGCAACGAGAGACTTTAGGAGTGGTGTTTCGGCAGACTGCAAACGGAAGGGCTTGAGGTCACAGTTAGCTGTCTGAAGTCAGACCAATTAAAAGAATGTACCTTCAAATGCGATTTGAAGTTTGCTGCTTGCGGTTAGCAGTGGCCATAAATTTCAATGATAAGGTTTTTTATAAAATCTCAAGACGTTCCAAAACAACGAAAATGGCATTGAAAGGCAAGCTTTGTCTTTTCGTGAACCACAAGATAAAAGTTTACTAAGAGAGATATATCTGAGTCTTGTCAGGAGAGTCGGACGTGCCATAACAGATTTGCAGCGCGGCCTATAATTAGCCATAAATATCAAGATTCCAGTTCATAATTAATAAATTGTGCTATTATTTCTTAATATTACGCTCTAACGTTCCTCAATCAAATTTTTAAAGTCTAGAGCCGCCGAAAATGGAGGCAGAAGGGGGGGAGAGGTTGTCCCGCCGCCCCGGAAGTGCTGGGGGCCTCTGCAAATTTTTTTATTGGGACCCAATAAATTTTGTACGTTAAATATTTCCGCGCAAGGGGCAAGATATTTGTTTTTTGGGTTAAGTACTGAAATTTTATACGAAGAATTGAGATAAAGTCCTTGGAAAGCAATTGCAACGTACTCGTTTGGAAAATTTTTCCCTAAAAGTTGTCGATGGCAGGAAGAAAATTTTGAATTAGGGGTCCTTAAAAAATGGGGGCTGAAAAAAATTGAAATAGGGCACCTAAAAAGTAATTTGCCCCGGCCCCCCGCCAAGCTCACGGCGGCCCTGTATATCAGTACTGTGTTCAGTATTTGATAAGGAATACAATATAAAATCAATCCATAAGAATACCTAAATAATTAATACTCTGTCTTTCAGTGATTTGCTGGTCGCCTGTTTTCAAACTAAGAATACGATTGGTGTTTTTTTTTGCACTGGGCGGAAGAGAGTTTGACTTTTCAACATTTAGTCATTTAATGCTAACTTTTTAGCACATAGCCATTCATAACCTTTGAGTAACTGTTCATTCAAATTTTATTTCTAAAACTTTAAGATTTCTATTAGAATAAAACAAATTAGAATCATCAATAAATAAATGAAAATCAAAGTAGTAGCAAAATTACCAAAGTCGTTTTTATATATATATATATATATATATATATATATATATATATATATATATATATATATATATATATATATATATATATAACAAAAATAGAAGTGGTCCTAAGACAGAGCCCTGCGGAACACCATATGTTATAAATTTCTGATCAGATACAACATTGCCAATTGGCACGAATTGTTTTCTATTTTTTAAGTACGAGAAGAACCATTTCAATGGTAATCCTCTAATACAATAATGCTCAAGTTTTTTTAATACAATATTGTGGTTAACAATATTGTATTAAAAAATCAATGCCATCCTCAATAGACACTTCCCGAATTTGCTTGAGTGCACACGAAACAATAGCTTGGAATCGAGGCGGACAATGTAATCATGTAGTTATTTACAATGATTACATTGTCCGCCTCGATTCGAAGCTATTGTTTCGTGTGCACTCAAGCAAATTCGGGAAGTGTCTATGGCCGTTTGAATTTTGTTGGTTATAAGCAGTAGTGCCTGGCTAGTAGAGTGATTTCACCGGAATCCATACTATCTATGAAATATTGTTTGCTTTTTTTCAAGAAAATTATTAACCTCCTCTACATAATTCTTTCTAGTATTTTATTAAAACTAGATAGTAAAGAGTTAGGGCGAGAGTTAGAAACGCGAAGCTTTGCCCTTTTTTATATACTGGTATAACACGAGCCACTTTCAAATAGTCAGGAACAACACTAGATAAAATTAAACAATTGAAAAAATGGGTACGGGTAGTGTTGACAGTATGGACTTTAGCATCATTAATAATTTAATTGCGATGCTGAATGGACCAATTTTTATCCAAATTATCCATAAATAGCCGTATGTTTTGAGAAAAAATCAATAATTTTACTAAACAAGACGCTCTGTAGAGCGTTAACTCGATGGGGCTATACAAATGAAAACTAAATTTTGTCGCCATATTTGCTCATAATTTGGTAACCGCTACAGAAAAACATAACAATTTACAGAAAACAAGACGCCAGCTAAGGCGTTCACACTGGCCTCGGTTGGCCAAATAACCTCTCATGTGAGTCTTGTTTCAACCTCGGTCCCAGGATTTTTCTTACAACGGCGCGAACCGGTTAGTTTTGTTTATTTGTTTTTGGACTTTTTTGTGACTATGCATTATTGTGCATAATTCAGACAAAAAAACTATTGCGTAAGGGGAATTTGTTTGTTTTTCGTGCAAAGAACTATTGTCCTTCTGTACAACATTTGACACAGATTATATTTTTGAGTTTTGTGTCCCAAATATATTTTCTTAAATATTTTATATATTTTTGTATTTTTTAAATATATTTATCTTATTTTTTAGTTAGCCTCCTCCGCAGGCAACTCTGTATGTCCCAGTACGGGTTCCCTGTGTAGTGTATTGGCGGGCGGGCGGGTTACGAAAAATATGGTGGAGTTGCCTGCCATATATCGACAATTATATCTGGTGTTGCGCATCGTCGTTGCGCATCAACAATTTCAATTTTATGGAGTTATGGGGGAGTGGGAAGGTACAGAATGACAAACATTCAAAATGGCTGTCTGCAATTTAACCTTCGATGAAATACAAGGACTCCCCTCACTTGAAGATGAATTCGAATACTTTAGAGTTCTAAGTGGTGAAAAAGAAATTGAAGTAAAAGCAAGTTCAAGCTTTGAAGCAGCAGTTAAAATGGCATTTACCTTACATGTAAGAGAAGGTGGACAGCTCGATATCGATGGTCGTGGTGTAGTTATTACTGTTATCTCGCCAAATGGAGACGAATTTAAATATAGAGCTATTAATGCAGACCCTGTTGCTGTTGAGCTCCTGGAAAAAAATGTCAAAGTCTCCGAGAATGAAGTTAATACGGTGTCTACGACCGACGATCCTGTTGTTTATACTTTTACGAACGCGTCTGAGAGACTTGACTTTTCAAACGGTTCATTAATCGATACAACGCTTCGAAACTATTTTGGGTTTCCTTCGTTTAGACCTCTTCAAAAGGAAACGATTATTTCCACTATGGCTGAAAAGAATGTTCTTACAGTTGTTGGAACAGGAGGAGGAAAAACTCTCACATACTTACTGCCTGCCGTTCTTTCTTCCCATCCTACTCTTGTATTATCTCCTATCAAGTCTTTAATTGATGACACCCTAGTTCGCTGCCTAAATCTTAACATTCGCAGTTGCAAGTTTACTGGAGATGTTCCCCATGATGTGAGAAAAGAACAGATACATAACATAGAAGATTTCAAGATTATTTTTGCTACTCCTGAATGCTTAGAAGACGGCGAACCACTTCGAGTTAAAGTTGATGGACTTGCTGGTGTTGGTCAACTTGAGCGAATAGTGTTTGACGAAGCACACACTATATCGAGTTGGGGAAATACCTTTAGACCGAATTATAAAGATGTATGTAAGAATTTGTGTAAGGCAAAGTGTCCAAAACTACTTTTGTCTGCTACAGTTCCTTTGAAAGTCGAGAATGATTTGAGAGAAATTTGTGGGGACTTTACTGTCCTTCGTAGAACTGTTTATAGAGAAAATTTATATTTGGAAGTAGTTGAGCGAACTGGAAAATTCCTTGACCAACTGTCTGATTTCATTTCGCAAAACAAAGATGCTTGTGGTATTGTTTACTGCGTACTCCCTAAAGATGTTTGCAAGATACATGGTGAACTTTTAAAACGAGGAATTAATGCTGTGAAGTATCATGGTAAATTGTCTGATGCTGTTAAATTATCCAGTCAGTCCAAGTGGATGAGTGGTGAAGTAAATGTTATTGTGGCAAACTCGTCATTTGGGATGGGTATTGACAAGGCTAATGTGAGGTATGTTTTACATGCAAAATTGCCCACTAACATTGAAGAATACTTTCAACAATGTGGCAGAGCAGGTCGTGATGGCTTGCCATCACACTGTAAGCTTTTTTATAATTACAGTGATAAAAACATTCTGTATCGACTGTTTGATGAACAAGTCATAGCACAATACAAAGGTGTAAATGACTTGATTGTACTTCTTGAAAACCCAGTGCAGTGCCTTCATCAAGGCATAATGAGCTATTTTGGAGAAAAGCATGATAGCTTTATATGTCTTACTGGATGCAGCAATTGTAAACACCGTGGAACTCATCAGATCACTGATGGTACATCAGATGCTTTAAAAGTTTTGCAAGCAGTTGTTGAATTAAGCAACATTAACTTAACATGCAATGATTTGAAGCTGTATTTAGCTGGTAGCAACCAGAAATGTGTGTCACATTTGCAAGAATATGCCACATTTGGAAGCTTAGGGAAGAAGTTTGTACCTGTTTCTTTGCTAGCAAAGTTCTTACATCTGTTAATTGTTGGTGATATCCTAACTGAAAGAATACACAAGAAAGGTACTGGCAGCAGTATTTCTGTTGAAATAACTCTTGGAAGCAAGGCTCATGACTTGCTTGCTAACAACTTTATGATAGATAAGTATGAAAAGACATGATTTGCTTCTTTGAAACAGATTATTGACAGAAAATATTTTGATTAATTAATGTATGCATGGACTGTAAAATATATTTTATATTCAAGCTAGCCTCCTCTGCAGGCAACCCTATAAACTCAGTATAAAGAACTGAATAATAAAGCATGTGCCCATACTGAGTCATTATTATGTACAGAGTTGCCTGGGGATGAAGCTATTATATTCATTACATTAGTCTCCTGCACAGGCAACTCAGTAACATCAGTATGGGTTCGATGTGAAGTGTACAGGCGGGCGGGTTACGAACAAAAGGATTAAGAACATTTTGGATAGTACCTAGAGTAAGCGACTGAAATACTAACTTTAGTAATCTATTAAATATTCACTTCAATTATAAACTCATTAATTTTTTGACATCATCAATAATCAACTGTTAAATATAAACTGTGTTTTAAACTGCTTAATAAAAGCCTTAATTTACAAGCTAAAGCATGTCATTTGGATATTTCCTGTGAAGAAAGCCAGGAAATTCAATCTCTGCCTTTTCCTGTCCTTTCTGATAGCTGCTTATGTATCTAGGTGGAACCAGTTCACCAGGCTTTAACTTTTTATCAGCCCATGGGTATTTTTTCACTGTCTCCCTTCCTTTTTCTTCAAACCATTCTTCTTTAAGGGCAAATTGGGCTACTTTAAGTTGATCATAAATTGAACTAGGCTTTTTGTGTTTCTTAGTGTTATGGATATCAAAAGCATCCCTGCTCTTGTACATTGCTCTGTTCATCTCAAGCAGGTTTGTGCTACATGACATCAGCTCTACCATTGCAAATGATGATTGTGCTGATGCATACTGCTTGATAGGTCTGACAAGGAATTCCTCCACCCATTCATCACCTGCCAAATTCCTGCCTTTCTTTCCATCCAAATTTATTGTGCGGTTCTGTTGATATAACTTTCTGTAAGCCAAAGGCCATTTGGCAATACTATTGACCACCTGAGTAAATGATTCATCTCTGTAATTGGTTTTCCCAACTGCAGTAAAAAGAGCTGGGCAAAGCATCCATACTCCTTCAAGTGCAACACCATTCCCATTCCTTATGGATTGTTTATACCATCTTGTTATGGGCATGAGGTCATTTGTTATCTGGGAATGATACTGGAATTGTTCATCATTTTCACAATTGTATGAAAGCCACGCTTCAAATTTCTTCAGTAGGATTTCGTTGTGTGAATCAGTTCTTTTGAAACAGTTGCCAAGTTCATCAGCAGAAGGGAAAAATGTGGATTCTTCAAATGTCTTTACCATCGCAATAGACATACCATCATCAAAATCCAGCAAAGCCTCCTCGTTATTGTTATAGTTATTCAGTTTAAATTTGTTTTTAAACGATGCTGGGTTTACAGTAGGGCGCTTCATTATATGTTCAGTGACATGCCAGAATCCACCTTGTCCTGCAATCCTAGCAATAGACTCGTTAACATAACCTCTGGCATGAAAGTCACCCCCACCAGGTGTGTGACAACCATATACGTCTGGGCATCGATTAGCACAGCCTTGAATTGTGACAGTGTTTTTCTGATCACCCACGTTAATGTTTAATTGTCTTGCATGCACATTTTTTGCTTCTTCATTCATTGGAATTGCGGAATCATCATGTTGAATACATGTATTTTTTGCAAAATATGTACCTACTTTTTCGATAATTGTTTGTTCTTCCTTGATCTTAGATTCTATTTGATCGATTAGTGCTGCGTTTTCTTTAACTTGCGCAATTTCAATGGGAGGTACCGTGTTTTCGAAAAAGATGTTATTGACAGACGCCCCATATTCAATCAAAAGCTTGGCTGTGTTGGAGTGACCCATGTGTAAAGCGAGGGTTAGAGGACTTTGTCCAATGCCATCCTTAGCATTAATTCTCGCTCCGGAATCCACTAGAGCACATACTAGCCGAGTGTTGCCGTTTAAAGCGGCATGATGTAAGATCGTTCTTTCGTACTGGTCTATGGCGGGAAACCAGGAGTACTTCAGTTCACGAACTTTGTGTGTCAGGATGTTCTTCGACGACACAGACGTTATATCACGTAATGTATTAAATATGCCGCTTATTCTTCTATCTAATTCCACATTGGCTCCTTCTAAACCGATCTTTTCGCGTAAATCATCCCAGGTACAAGTAGCAAAGTCAGTCATTATAACAACTGTTTCAGGTGTCAAACTTCTAAATGCATCGTAATGGTCGCACGTGTATGACCCGCCCGCCCGTTACACAGGGAACCCATACTGATCACTGAGCTTTGTGATACTGATGTTACAGAAATAACAGAGTTGCCTGCGGAGGAGGATATGAGAATTCCACTTATTTAGGCACTTCACATAATTGGCTAGACAACTCCGCAGGCAAATCTGTAAGTTTATAAACAGTGGCGGACACTTTATGAAATATGGGGGGGGGGCTCCCGGAAATGATCCCCGAAATGGCATGAGAATACATTTTGAGAACACATTTTGTAAAAAAACTAGGTTTTCAAAACACTGTTTTAATGGTGGATTTAGTTATAAATCACATGCTAAGCATAGAAAACCAACATTTCAGAGAAAATATTTACATAATTATTTATAATTTTTTCAATATATATCACACACTAGATTAGGCAGAGGCCATTACGGCTATAGTCGTTAAAGAAACTTTGAATGGAATAAGATTACATGTATGATAAATTACGCAAATGCAAAGGAAAATTTTGTTCAGTTATAATTGTAAATGTACACAAGCATCTCTCATACACGAGGTAGAGTAATACGAGCAACAAAATTGCTGCAACTTGCAACAAAATCTGATTTCAACGCATGTTAATTGAAATGTTCACACATACATAATCACGAGGCAGTATGTGTCAACATTTCTACTTAACATGCGTTGAAATCAGATTTTGTTGCAAGTTGCAGCAATTTTGTTGATCGTATTACTCCAGCTTTATGGTTGATGCATACTGTTATTAGTCATCGTCCTGTTCGTCGTCTGTGATATTCTCGTTGTCTTCACCAGAAGATATATCAAACATTTGCTGTTCACTGTCAATATCGCGAGGATGTCTTAGAATTTGTTCATACCGCGATTGCTGTAACTTATGCTGTTCCAGTGACTTAATGAAAGCATATCTTTCGTAAGCACGATCTAAATCAAACTCTTTACCATTTTGTTTAAGTGGTAAATATTTCTTCGCTTTATTTATTTTGAATCCAAACTCGTTTGCGAAAAGATCCAAATTGCTGGCCACTCCAACAATCTTGCATTGATTCTCGTGAGATATTGGCAACGGATATACATTTGTTTTATCTCCAGATAGATGGGGAAAATCTTCTTCTACAGGTGGTATATCAATGACGTACAAGGGCGGTCTGGTCTCAGCCTCTTGCGATTGTAGAACATCGCTTGATGCTTCGGTTAGTTCCTCTTTTGACAGGCGCACCGAATTCAAACCAAAAGAAAGTTTGCGTAAAGCATTTCTCTTCTTGAACGACTGCCATTTTTTGTGTTGATCCTTGTTGCTTTCTAAAACATAAGATAATTGCGTATTATATCAATTATCTATATATATAGTAGAGTACAATACACTACATTACCATATACCGGGTGTCCCAAAAGATCTATGCCCTGTTTGATTTCCTGTAACGCAAAAACTATAAAAGCTATTGCACTGAAATAAGCTTCACCTATTTTGGTGTCCTCATATTGTAGTTTTCGTACTTCTCTCTGTGGAAGGACAGCAGTTTGTTCACCTTCAAACAGATTTTCAATGTCACATGTGGTAGCTACTCGCCAACCTCTGACAGTAAAATCCCACATCTTTCCCTGCTTCAGCTTTTCTTTTTGTAATTTAGAGAGTCGCAAATGTCTCATAGAAGTTCGTTTCAGTTGCATGTTATCTTGGTAGGTGATAACAGGATTATCACATGACACACGACTGGCAATTATGTCTTTATAACTCTCGAGCTGTTTCTTTAGAATGCCAGTCCTGGTTAATAAAAACTAAATGTAAAATTCTAAAACTTAAAATTCTAAATGTCTTGACGCGTTGGTTATAACCACTCGAGTGGCAGCACTCTCCACATGACAAGTAAAATCGTCTGGCGTTCGACAGAGTAAAATACTAAAGTAGAGCGCATTGCCACTTACAGTCGATTTCACGAAACTTTGACCACATATGTTCCGAACTTCGTTGCGAAGTTGAAAATGAGATTCACAAACCAGTTTGTAAACTATGCATTTGATTGGCTTCTTTTACTTCGCGGACCAATCAGGGACTTTGTTTACAAATTGGCTTGTGAATTCCAATATGAACTTCCGAACTTCTCAACGAACTTCGGAACGAAGTTCGGAACATTTGTGGTCAAAGTTTCGTGAAATAGACTGTAAATGGATAATAGGATGCACGAGCAGTTTGGTTAACCCATTGAGTGGCACCACTCTCCACTTGACAAGAAAAATCGTCTGGTGTTAGAGGTAGGGTGCATCGATTCGGGGTGCATTGCCACATAAAGGGTTAAGTTTGTATGCCGAATTACAACAGTTCTCAAAATTAGTGAGCAATTTGCTGCTAATTATGGTATACTTTAAGTACAGTGTAAAAACGCTTTGTCCAATTTGCGAGGACAGCAGGCCTGTTTACAAATTACAATCAGTTAGGGTCAATATAGCAGAGTAAACATAACCACAAAACTGACAAAAGATTGCAATGAAATGGGAATGAACACAGTGAATGGACAGTAGGTTAATGAAACAGTATATAAGTACTCACAAAACTTGAAATGATTCTGACAGCCCTAAATGCTGAAACACTGCAATTGCCGATGGTCCAGCTCCATAACAAAGACAGAGGAAGCCAAACAACACCGGGATATCATTCCCTGCTCTTTGGTCTCTTACATCCATCAGAGATGCCAGCAGGTGAACTGATGCCTTCATTTTCATATCAACTGTTTTTTTTGTATTCCTCGAGGCATTAAAGGAGAGTACTAGTTGCTCTAAAATGTTTGTAATGGTAGGACATTCCCTGTGTAGGTTTTCAACAAGTTTTGTAAACAACAATGAATCAAATTTACTCTTGAGATCAGTTACGTTCTTTTCTCTCAGGCCCAGATTGAACATCTTCTTCGTTTTCTCAACTTCTTCTCTAATTATATCCCTTTCAGATATAGATAGCAAACCACCTAGCATCTTTCCAGTTTCAACAATGTCCTTGAATATCTCAATTACTTCATCTTGCATATTAATTGTTTTGGTAGCAGCAGTTTCATACTTATTTATATATTCATACAATTTAGTAAGTTGTGTACGAAGCGCCTGTCGATCGAGTTCCGAAGTTTCTGCTTCTTTTGTCAAGGTTTCTATTTTCTGATGGGCAATAGATAATTCTTCCCTCAGTTCAGCAAACTGGGATGGCAGATCTGGTTTGAAGAAAACACTTTCATTATTGTTCGGCCAATCGAATATCATGTAACATCCAGTATTCTGCATTTGATTTCATTATAAAAAAGGTCTATAACAAATACTTTTAAAAAGGTTTGTAAGCTGGGCAAAAACATCCTCTGCTGTGTGCATTTAATTTACTATATGTAACCATATAAAAATAACAAGTATTTTCATTGGCATTGCTGCTAAATTTAAATAACATACTTGTACATGTACCTGAACTTGACAAATTCAATTCATCCATTTGCAACACTATCCCACAGTCATCTTGGTTAGAAACTGCATTTAATATGGAAAATATTGTCAATGGAATTATAAATATAAAGTTAATGTATTACCACATAAGTTGAATGGTGTAAAACAAACACTGCCTGACTGCCCGTAACTGGCAAGTAAAACAACATGCATTTTTAAATTTTTATCCTAACTTGTATACTTTTATATAGTTTACACTAACAATAGCCATATACAATAACAATTCGAACCCTAACCCCAACAAATAAAAATAAGAAACTGCTGTACCTTTATCAAAGTCTAGGTGGCTTCTGCAATATGGCTGAGCTTCTGCATAGTAATCAGCTTCTGCTGAAACAAATTTTGGGATTCAAAAGGTTTGCTGCGATTATTGCTTTCTGGGTTGTTTGTGGCTCTTGTTCTTCTCATGTTCCCAACGTTCCTTTCTGAAATAATGTCATCGTTAGCATGCACCAAACCATTCAAGATGATGAATGGTTTGGTGCATGTTAGCAATGACATTCAGTATTCCAGAAAGGAACTTTAGGAACACGGGAAGGACAAGAGCCACAAGCAATCCAGAAAGCATCCTGCTCTGTGAGACAAAATGCAAAACGGTGCCATTTCAACGCTCGTTCATCAACAGATCAACCAAGATATAGAACACTGTGCTTGACAAACTGATACATTAATCTTTAAGCTTAGTCAAATTTATATCTTTATTACTAAATTATTACCGTACTGCTTTAATTAAATATAATCTATGATCATGATAATCCACAACATGGAAATATATCTGCCTAAAATGCAACAAGGCTTGAAGTCTGGCTAGTCCAATCTCTTGTTGTTTTAGCGAGTTTGGGATTTGGATTTTGCCACCACTTACCGCTACCTCTCGCTGACCTGGTGTGCATGATTGGTTAGCTCAGTAAACTATAATATTGTTGGTGGCGGTAGTGGCAATGGAAGTTGAATATTGTTCTTGCTATGTATTGCATTGCATTGCATTGCGTTGTGTTGCATTGTGTTGCATTGCATTATATTCAATATTGTACTGTGCAATGTAGTTTTGTATTGTGATATGAATTTGAATTTAATGAAGTTGCCATTTTCAATGACAGGTGAAGGACACAGAACCATTAGTCCCAATTGAAGATTTGAAGTCCTACACCGAAATATGTGCCTAACCCACCCTGTCAACTTTCCCTGTGGGAGGAAACCGGAGTACCTGGAGAAAACCCACAACTTTCGGCAGAGCGTTGACTTTTTTCTCTTTTCACATGAGGACTGGGTTCGAGTCACATTGAGAAATTCTCATTGAGATTTGAACCTGCGACCTTAGAGGTGAAAGGCAAGTGCGCTACCACTTGGCCACCGAGGCCCCTAATACTTGGCCACCAAGGCCCCTAATACTTGGCCACCAAGGCCCCTATACTGTTGTATTCTTAAAATTTATCAATTTTTAACCCATTGAGTGGCTTGCACCCTGATGCACTCTACTTTAGTATTTTACTCTGTCTAATGCCAGACGATTTTACTCGTCAAGGGGAGAGGCTAGCGCTGGCGCTTATTGGGTTAAATGGCACACAGTAATTGGTGTATACTGTTGTGGTGACCCTGCCACTTGTTTGTTGTAAGTGGCAAAGTGTAATAAATAAATAAATAAATAAATGAACAGAATCTACTATGTAAGTTCTACATTATACATGTTGTGACAAATGTGTAAAAATTGTGACCAACTGAAAAACATAGTATTGCCCCCTATACCGTTCCCTGTACATATTTAGCATACATAATACCTTTTCTCATTTTGTGTTGAGGGGACGACACAATTTTTTCAGGCTGGTCTAAAAATATAAATTATAACATTTTTAATTCCAATCCAACATGTAGTAAATATAGTAGGGGGTGAATCATATACATGTGCATTTATAAAATCGTACTAACTTCTATGCTCTACACTGTAAATATTTGAAATACATCATATATCACCATGCAATTTTGCAACAATGCCTTTCACCTTTGTTGTTACTAGCATTATCGAATCCACTATCAGCCGGGCTAGCAGTAGAAATAAGTGTAAGACCACTGTAGTATCCTCTGGAAAATAAAAAAACAAAAAACAAAACAAATCTTTAATTATTAATTATCATGGAAATGCATTAAACCATTCAAGTGTTTAAATTTAGTTATATTACTAATAATAAAGTGTATCTGTAATAATAGAATTATTCAAAACTTTATATAATAGCTGAATTCATATTAGAAAACAGGTTTCCATCTAAGACGGGAAACTCGTGTGACGGATTTCCGTCTGGTATAAGTATGAAACGAAAACTATCAGACGGATAAACCCGAAAAAATAAGAGACCCTCCATCCCTGTCTCTTTTGGATGTTACGAGCAGAAAGACGTCTTGATTTATTCATCTAATTTAAATTTCCGTCTAAGACGAGAAACTCGTCTAACTTTCCCGTCGTTCAAACAGGAAAGTTAGACGGAAGAGTTGAGATGGAAAACCTGTCATTACAGTAACCGAATTCATATCAAGACGAGTTTCTCGTCTGAGGCGAGTAAATCCGTTTTCTAATATGAATTCAGCTAATAACATACTCTCGTTGTTGTCCTTTATGCTGGAGCTTAGTACGAAATATTTTACCAAACGTGCGTAGGACTTTCTCACGTTCGATTCTCTTCACCCCTGGTGAGACTTCCTCAAGCTTGTCAAACAGATCACACACTTTCAGCTCTTTTCCCTCTGCAACTGTCACACAGGTCTGAAGAATTTTCTCCAAATCCAAACTGAACTTACGATGAATCCGATTAACTAGAAAAACATTTACAGTCAAAATACAAGAATCTTTCCACTTCCATACTAATACAGAACAACACAGAACAAATTAAAAAAAATAACAACAGAATAGGTGGATTAAATTTCTTGTATTTTGACTGTTTTATACACAATTGACAATTACATTCTTCAATACATAAATATTGAATTAATTTAAATAGCCTTACCTCTCCGTTTCGTTCCATTTGGAGTGATAATAACGCTTCTAAGTGGTTCAACACCACTTTTTGACGGTATTAATGTGGTACTCGCTGGCGCAGGTTTTAATAATTCTGTTGTTACAGATTGACCATTATCATCTCCATGATCAACTGTTAAATATACCGTTGGCGATGGCCTTCCTTCTGACATTTCCAACAATTCTTTTCGCATCAAACTCAATTCTGCTTCTCTTCTTTCGATATCTAGACGCTTATGTTTTACATTTCTTAAACTGTCCTTGTAGTTTTTACTTAAAATTGGTATTTTACTTATATATCTCCGCTGCTTATCGTCAATTTGCCCACATGCTTTCGACGCCATATTTACAATAAGCATGTAGAATGCAATTATATTATGTGCAAAACCTTCCCTAGGGTACCCGGGTACATTGGCGCATCCATCCAATCTACATCGGCACGTCACTACCATTCGATATATGGCAGGCAACTCCTCCTTTTCTTTTCCCTGAAACCCGCCCGCGTAACCCGCCCGCCCATACACTACACAGGGGAACCGTACTGGATCACTGAGCTTTGTGAATTGTGATACTGATGTGACAGAAATAACAGAGTTGCCTGCGGAGGAGGCTATTTTTTAGTATTGTGCTTCAAATATATTTTCTTCTGTCAAATTTAAAAAAGTAGAATTCTTAGCACAAGGTGAAAAGCCAAATAGTTGTTATAATCTAATATATCTTTACGCGCTTTCCTTGTTGTAAATATATCACTGTAATTCCTTTGAAAACAATTGAACTGGTATTAACTTTTAATATATTATTTAAATTGTAACTGAGGACCTTGAACAAAAGCCTTATGGTTTCTAGACGGTTCCTAGCCCTACTATTGCAAATGTTTTTTTATTTAAATTCTTAAACTCGTAGTTAGTCTACTGAAGATGGCTTAATTAACCGGAGAAACATTTGGACGGTTTTAATATTTTAGAATAATAGTAATAAACTTTTTATTAAATTTTTAATAGAATAATGGTAATGAGCTTGAAAAGTAGTCAATATAATTTAATATTGAGAGAAGTGTAGCTAGAATGTTGTCCCCCTCGACAAAATTTTGCCCGTCCGCCATTAAAAAATTCATTCTAGAGAAGTAAGTGAAGCTTGGCCCCACCTAGATTTTTGCTCCTTCACTGACAAAAAAAATCTGGCTACGCCCCACCTGTTTATATTTACTAATAAGAACGTTTTTCGATGCGCATGTACTATAATTTTTTGTTGTTGAGTAACAGCTCCAAATTGCTCATCATCATCAACATCCTTCTCAATTGTTGCTTGGTAACTATTTCTAATTCAAAATTTAAAGTAAATATTCTCCATGTGTTATTTTCAGTATCACATGATTGTTGTACTGCTTGAACACTTGCATAACCCGGGAAATAGATTTATATCAGGCTTTGATCTTAGTTTATATTGTACGTTTTTAGATATCAACGAGTGCCTTCAATCTGGCGCATGCCCAGAAAATGCAATTTGTACTGACCTAATAGGAAGATGTGAATACGCATGTAAGCCAGGATTTGAAGGACTGACATGTCCTGGTAAGCAATATAGTTTTCAAACAATGGAGGAAAATATATATTTTGGCTTTCGAAGTTTATACTCAACGTTTTCTGCCAGTGTAGATATAACTGCAGATTTAAGATTTAAATTAAAAAACTTAGACCAAGTTTCCAGCTAGATGTCTTGGCTATGTTCGCATGTTCCTGCAAATGGTTTTAATAGTAGAATTATTCAGCTGTAGACAATCCTATAGTTACTAAAATATGGATGATCAAAATGTACTAATATCTCAGCAGCTTCCCCTTAATTACGAAGTAAAAATGTCTGCAGCTTGGAAAAAGTGAACAAATTAAACAACTTAAGTAGATGCTATCAAAACTACGGATTTTATTCAAACATTTGAGTTAAAAAAGACACTATTGAGCCACTTTAATTAACTTCAGCTATTGAACGGTTTACGTATAATGTAGTAAAATTAGATGTCGAAAAAAAGTGCTCATTTATTTATTAAGAAATAAGATATTAATATTACATGAAGTAATAAAGTTGAGAATACAAAGTTGAGTAATAAAGTTGAGAATACAAAACGTGCGTAGTTTTAAACATGCATAATAGCCTAATATCAACTGTGATTGGTTGATTTCAGTTAATCACAAACAGTAGTGCAAAAATAATAATTATAATAATAATAATAATGAAAACTTTTTTGAATTTTTGATGCACTTACAATTGAAAATCTCACTGTTAAAGGTAATTTACAATTGGCTACTTGATACACTATACATTACTACAAAAAGTCACAGACTAACTAGAAGTATATTAAATCTGGATTCGATCAATCCTTGTTTCTACAACAGAAAACGTAATATGTCGTTTTTATTGCAATGTTAATGATTTTCCTTATGGTATATTTAACACAGGCCTTATCTGAGTTCAAATGTTCCAACATTTGTATAAAATCAATAATAATAAAAATAATAATAATAATAATAATAATAATAATAATAATAATAATAATAATAATAATGGAAACTTTATTAAAATTATATACGTATATATACAATTATAAATCTCACTAATTTAGGTAATTTATAATTGACTACTTGAACCTACTTAATATTTATATATTAATAATGAGTATCCTTAAATGTTCAGTAATTCCGGGTTTAACCAGTCCTTATCTCTGCAACAAAATATATAATATGTTGTCCTAATCGCGATAGACATAATTTTCCTGATAGCGAAATATTGGTGTCTTTTATCAAGACCTAGATCAGTTAACATATCTAAAAAGGAATGACATTCTTTTGAGAAAACGCCTAAAGAACTAATTGACAAATTTACAAATTTTACGGACTTAAATTGTTTCTTTTGCTGTGTAATGAGATCTTCGTATCTTCTTCTTTTCCGATCAACATTTGTTTGTAGATTAGACTCATAGCCAACAGAAAGTTCAAGGATATATAAGAGACAATCCGAGTTGATAGATAGAAGTAGGTCTGGGCGGAATGTGTCACCAGTTACAATTGATGGGCTTTTATAACCAGGAAGATCGACGAAAAGATTGGAGTTGTTTACAGGTTGTAGCGTTTGTGCTATGAAGTTCAGAACAGAATCATGTCTCCATGTAAATCGTGGGAGGTACGTTTGACATCCAGCAACTACGTGTAAAAGGGTTTCAGGGTTTAAGCAGAAGGAGCAATCAGAGTTGGACAATATTCCCCATTTAGTAAGGTTTTTACGAGTTGGAAGTGAGTTATTGATGTAACGAATGGTGAAGTTATAGATGTTCTTTGGGAGGTTTGATTGGGATTTAGACCATATACCGTTTAATTTCGACAGTGAAAACTTAATGACATTTGAGAAGAAGGAGCCTTGCAAAATCAGATGATTCTGCAGTTTGTCTTCTTGTCCGGAGGTAAAAGTTTTAAGGACTTCCTTTGTCGAGGTGTAGACGTCGTACTGAATGTTTTTGCTTTCAGATGTTATTTTCCAGAGGTCTTTTATGGAATGATTTGGAGAGGTCTTTAAGGCGTTACGAGCAACTGTTTGGCACTGAACAAACTTAATTGACGGCGGATAGATATTTAGACCAAACTTGTTACTGGTAAGGTAGACGTTAGATAGAGTTCCTGATATAGGTATTTCAAGCCATTTACGTACGTACTTGTTCACCACAGAATCCATATTTTCAGAGACCCAGGTTTTTGATAAGGTGGTTACAGTGAAATGCCAGGAAAGTTTGGAAAGGAGGTAACGACTATAAAGCAAAAGTTTATTTTTTGGGTGCAAAGGTTTGAGATCAATTTCAGACATAATGTCGTCCATGAGAGTGATTAGCTCTTGTTTGTGTTCTTTTTCGGACATACTGAAGTCAAAATATTTCCCCAAGTATCGAAACGACTCTCCAATTTTAGTGGCAGGTATCAATTCATTGTTAATCAGAAGTTTAGGTAAATATTGGATAGATTTTGTGAGACTTTTCCTGATCCCAAATGTTGAACACTTATCAACCCTGACAATCATGTTAGACCACTGGCACCAGATCGAGAATCGATTTAAAAGATGTTGATTTTCTGAATCTTGACCGCTTATTACCGCAGCATCATCAGCGAACTGGAACCAATGGACTGGGTTTAAAAGATTTGTAATGAAACCAAATTGCCGGTATTTGTCAGTTTTTATATGTTGAATAAAGGTATTGATGCACATATTAAAAATCAGAGGACTAAGACAGTCTCCTTGAAGAACTCCACGACCGACAGTTATAAATGGGGTGGAGAATTCTGATGTTATAAATGCAGTATTGAAGTCCGTATACAAGCTCTTTATTATTTCACTAACGTCTTTGGGAATGTGATGATAGTCGAGGACAGATTGAATTAGATTATGATGCACTTCACCAAAAGCATTCTTGAGATCGAGAAGGGTGATGACAACAGAGCGCTGCTTTATTCTCGCTTGGTTGATAATATTTGTCATTTGAGCAGTGTGTTCCAGAGTGCCAGACAGATTGGGAGTAAAACCTTTTTGAATCTGATGTTCAATAAAGTTATTAGCAGTTAGGAACGAGAACATAGCATTGCGGAGACAAGAGGTAAACACTTTTAGTGGTATAGTTTCTAGAGTAATTGGGCGGAAATTGGAGGGGTCACTTGTATTGCCTTTTTTGTGGATAAGAATAGAACACGCTTTTTTCCATTCAGCTGGTACAGATTTCGAAGACCAGACGCTACGAATCACTTCGGTTAGATAAGTGCGCAAGAATGGACAACGTTTGAAGCAAATGATTGAAAGTTGATCTAGAGGACAAGGCGATCCAGAAGCTTTCATTCTGCGAATAATGTTTGTAACTTGGCGATATGTTGGGGGTTGAAGGTCAAAGTTTACGATAGGATCGGATAACTTCGGAATCCAGCTTGGAATACAAAACAGTTTGTTTGGGTTAATTGAACATAGAGTTTTCTTGAAATAGTTTAGGCATTCTGACATTGTAAAGCATGGAAGTAGGCAAGTATTCTTATTCAGGACGTTCTTAACGTAACCCCAGAAATTTCTACTAATGTAATTGTCGTGATTGAACGTTTTGTTTTGGGTTTGAGTTGTATTGATTTGACAAGCATTACGCAACTTATCACGCAATGTGCGAGCTACATATTTGATTTCGTGAGGATCAGCGTTCGATAGCTTTAGTTGTTTTAGACATTTCTTTAAGGCTTTTACTGTTTGATCTTTATACTTATTCACTAGCTCTTTATCCGGCATCTTCTCAACATAACCGAAGTTATCAGCGAAATAGTTGTAGACAATATCATTCATTAGCGTAATGCTTGAGCTTAGATCTTCAATTCTGATTGGCGCATTTAGTCGCAATTCAAATTTGAAATAGCTGTCAGCCGTTGACCATTCTGCGTCGCTTTTGGGAAGCTTTACCCCTTTCTTCAACACTGGAAAATTCTGATCGCTCGCAATATTTTCCATTACATCAATTTCCTCAAATGTAGAATGAGTAGAAGTATTCGTAGTCGAGTTCTCAGTAGATTGCTGTTCAAGGTCTGTAAGCAATTCATCATTTAAACCATGTATTACACGACAACTACGTTGGTGCATTTTAAGCTCCCGCGTACCTTTACATGATTTACCACAATAACACTTAACGTCGTTGGTGTTTGAGATTCTGACAGGAGAATGCATAACCGGCATATTTTGATTGACTGTGTTAGCAGGACGATCTTGATTTATTTTTTCTTTACAACGCCATGAATGACGGCCCAGCGTAACGAAGTCTTTGCCACAGAACGAGCAATCTGCGCAAATTGCCAACATAGCAACAAGGCTTGAACGAATCATGATTTATATCCGAGTAAATCCAATAGTTATAATATTTTTATTAATAAACTGTGGTTCAAGTAAGAAAATAGCGATAAAACGAACAACATGTACAGAGCGCGTATAAACAATGCTGCTCTGCTCAATGCTGATAATAATAATAATAATAATAATAATAATAATAATAATAATAATAATAATAATAATAATAATAATAATAATAATACAACTTTATTCATCATTTCATTATATACAATAATTCTTTTGTTATCAATGACTATATTAAATAATCTGTTCTTTGGGTATAATTAAAAAAGTGTCTAAATGTTTGTTGATATGTACAGTTAAATTTTAAAAACAAACTCTGGAACATATACCGCTACATAATTAAAATATTTACCGCTAAGTAGCTAAATAACTAAACTAACATATTCCACTAAATAACTAAACAATTAAACTTTGTATATTGTACAATCTAAATTGTTTGAGAGATAGCACTCTCGGCGTTCTCAATGTTAAAATCAATGTTCCTAATATCATACATGATTTTCCTTGCCCTTGAACCCCTCAAGCAGGTAAGTGCCGATCTCAATAAAGCAAATGAGGTTCTGGCTCTTATCCAACTCATAGTTGTCGCATAATCTTCTCCTTTCTTTATGGCTACCAACTCTGCCAATCGACTATGGTATCTCACACATTCTTTGCCCATATTATTATTATTATTATTATTATTATTATTATTATTATTATTATTATTATTATTATTATTATTATTATTATTATTATTATTATTATTATTATTATTATTATTATTATTATAACACATGGACTACAATGTCGACACGACGAGGTACATGAATATTGGCGGTAACATGACGCCATAGCTAATACCGTCTGCTTTCTAGCCCGTGTGCAGGCCCAAGGGAAGAATAGTGGGCCTGCAAGCAAGGCCCGGTATTTTGTACTTTCCGCGTTCGCCCACGAACGCGGCATTCTGATTGGCTGTTTGCTGTTGGATTTTATAATTAGATCAGTGATTCATCACAAAGGCTCTCGATAAGCTTAAAATTCGAAAATTGATCACTTTTTTCGATTAAAAATGGAACACGAACAGACTGTTTATTGTTTACTTGAAGGAAGAGATGTTTTTGCCGTTATGCGAATGGGGATTGCTTGTCGTGAAGTGTTGGAATAGCAACATTACAACTGGGGTAAACTATAGTATTAACCTTTACTTGAGTTTGATTAATTTCAAACAGACTTGATACGTTATATGTTCTTCAAGAAAATTATCTTTTGGTTGATGTTGACTCTGTTCTTGCACTGAAGAAAACAGCGCTTTTCGCGGTGAAAATTTAGAGGCAGTTGCATGTAAGCCTATTCAAAACACTTTGCGATTTGCAAGGCTTCGCCGTTTGAAACGAAATGATCTGGACTCTGAACGCTCTTCTTTTGTCGAGTTCTTTACCAAATGAAATAACTGAAATAAATTTCGTACTTTCCGCCGCCAACAAGAATTGCACACACGATCTGATAAGTGAGACAATTTATTTATAACAATGGCGACAACGAAGCACACATTAATGCTAATTGGTCGCACGACTTCCCTCACGATTTGAAGTTTGAGGCTGGTTTTCTGTTGAAATTCGTCCTAATTTGCCTGTTCCGATTTTAGTTGAAAATGAGCACTTGCAAATTTGTCAATTACTGACTGCGTTGCTTGCTTTTTTGGGGTTATAACACAGCCATTTACACATTGTTTCTATTTTGAATATTAAAGCAGAGAAAACCCCGCAACATTTTAATGCGAGTTTGTTTGTTACTATTTGGGTTGCTGCCATGACGCGCGAATGGGGCGTGTTGTGAAAGGGGGCATTTTACAAAATACCTGGCCTTGCTTGCAGGCCCACTATTCTTCCCTTGGACCTGCACGCGGGCTATCTGCTTTCCGGCCAAATTTCGGTCAGAGTTTGTAGACCTGAACCACCTAAGATTAAATAATCAGTGGATAGAGGATATAAATTTGTACAACATATGAAAGTTTTAAAAAATCCTATAGAATAGTAGCAGAGAAATTTGTAGTTTAACATGCAATTCTTGCCAGCGCGCGCTATATAGAGATAGTATATTCGCCTACAGCTAATACCGTACAGATTGCGGCCGAATTTCGATTGGTTGCAGGCCTGACCCACATATGATTAAATAAACAGTGGAAAGAGGAGATAAATGTGTACAGTATATGATAGTTTTAAAAATCCTATAGAATAGCAGCTGAGAAATTAATAGTTTAAAATTTTTGGCAAATTGTATTTAATATTTTTTGTGTGGTTAGCTATTAGGAAAATATCGTTTTGGACTGCTTTGAGATAAGTTTTTTGGTTTGTGTGCAGAAAACCATGAAGGTACTAGTTAGCTAATACGAACTGTATGTTTTCTTTTTTTCTAATTCATTTAGAAGAGAAGAAGTGGCTATATTTTTCATTTTGACTTCTGAGTGATTGAAATGAGTGAGTTCACACCATATCGAATGTCATGTTGAATCTCATGTGTAATTCACATGGCCATGGTTCATGATCATTTTCTTTATTCGATATAAATGTTCAATATGTGTGTTCAACGAGTTGGAATTACAGGGGAAACAGCGAATCACATTAAAAAAATAAAATATCAACTACATTACTAGACTAAATTCTAAATCAACTTAAATAAGTATTTTGCCAATGCATGCTAAATTACATGTCTTACTTGGGTCTCTTGTTGTCCCCCAAGCAATAGTCGCTTTGATTGAAGTACAGGGTGAGTAAAAAAAACTGACACCTTTGTTATTCAAATTAGCCGCGAAGGTATCAGTTTTTTACTCACCCTGTATATATCCTTTCCTCTGTAGATTATATTATTCGTTCTTTAATGGATGAGAATATCAATCGGGATAGGCTTATTTCCGTTGGGAGTTTTCTTCATTGTTTTGTTGCGCAAACAAGCCGTCAAGCCCCACGTGCATGCCAACGTAAGTGGCATGTACCAAAACCCGAAACAAAACCACGGGAATATGTCAGCCCCCCCAGTTTGTTGGGCAAACAAAGCCAGTCGGGCAATATTCGCTCCACAGTCGGGCAATATTGGCTTATTATAAAAATAAATGGGACAAATTCTGTCAATTTTGTGGGAAATTCTGTCAATTTTGTGATGTCTGGAAAATTTGTATGATGTTCCGAAAAATTTTGGTATGTCCGAAAAATTTTTGGACCCCTAAAATGGTACACTGACCGAAATTTTTTTTGGGGGGGGAGGTCGCCAAAATTAATTTGTTCCGGAAAAAAAATTTTCGGCACTGGTCGGGCACAATCCGAAAAAGTCGGGCAAATTTCTTTCCGCCCCCCCCCCCTAATTTTTTCCTTCCGGTACGCCCATGCGGATGGATGAAGATACACGATTGCATTACTCAAAATTACTAATTTCTATGAACCAGTCTCTACAGGGTGTCCCAAAAAACCCGAAAACAATTGAAATCACCAATAACAATTTAATTGTTAAATTTGAATGCCTATAAGCACTCTGTTGGTTCCCACGAGTGCATAAATGATTGACATAAGTAAATTTTATGCATAAAGAAACTATTTAAGAAGCTGCTTTAAATTCCCAAGAGCAAAAAATCGCGCACTTTACAAGGAGATGTTCTTAACTAAATTTTAATACATGCACCTTGTCAATATTTTACGCATCATTACGTTCAGCTTTTTGGTAGGGCATTCAATTTTAACAATAAGTGATTTCAATGGTTTTCGGGTTTTTTGGGACACCCTGTACAATACGTTATAGCTAATTTGAATTTGAAAGGGTTCAGTTTTTTTTATACACCCCTGTAAGATAAGCTATGAGAAAGACGCGGTGAACCTTGCGACATAAGCTTCAACATAAACACAATCAATGGCGCACGCAGACCCTGAGCCCCAAGGCAAAACAAAAGACATTTGGAAACTTTCAATTCTTTATGGTCGTTGTAGCCTAAAGCCCAGAGGGAAAGGTGTTGTTTTTTATTCTCCCCCATGAGGCTTAATATTTACTTCTTAAAAGAATTAGGGGGAGAGTAATGCAGATTGCTTCATCGCTTATAAAATGAAAACTGCGAAGGTCTTATACCAGCCTAGTCCCAGGCTCTCTTTCTATTCGCTGCTTTGATATATTTAAATAAGTCTTAAAAGTTTTATGCCTGGGTGTGCTGTGCGGAACGCTGCAGCGAGAGAGCCTAGCAGATTTCGGTAAAATGGTCCCTGATTTCAAAAAAGTGGTCCCTGGCCTGGTTACCAAGCATACCTCATTTGTAAATGGCAAATGTTATGGAAATTTCCTTTGCATTTATAATTAAGTCATTAGTTTTGCTCTAATCTGTCGAAACAATGAAGTAGGCTACGTTTCGCGGCCATACGGTCAGAATGGAATAACGGGCTAAATATGACTCGTGTTTACTAAAATATATAGCCATATTAAATGCTATCTAGAAGCATGAAAATTATGCCGATTCTCTGACTAAGAATGTTTCGACAACACCGTCATGTCAGGCAAATATTTCCAATCTCCTCAGCAATTTAAACCTGTCAAGTAGAAAGCGTAGTTGTGTATACCAGTATGGTCTAGTGTTGATCACAACTTGCGAGTAGTACATAAATAACATCAACGATTGCTCAAACTCGGTATCGTAAATTTGTATATAATTTTTTTTAGTTGAGCGCATTTTTAATACAGTAATTTGATTTGGTTATGTAGACATCGAACATGTACATGATGAACGAACATTGTCGTATTTACAATTAAAAGGTTACTTGTATATATAAATTTTCCGCCATATTGAAAATACTGAAATCTGCTAGGCGTTCTGAAGCACCTTGAGCGGTGACATCACACCTAGGTTCCAGTCTCGTACTACATCCACTTTTTTTCTCGCGCTTGCTTCAGAACGACTGGGACTAGGCTGGTCTTATACTATATCATCTGGCTGGTTCCAGAGCGAAGCATGTACATATAGGTGTTGCCTCCTAGCTAGTAGGTATCTTCATATATTCTTCGCTAGTGAAGGCTGCGGCATTTAAGAAACGTTCATCATTATAGTTTCAGAAGTCGTTAAAATGTCCGCACGTGGAAAGGAGAAAGCTAAAAGGGCCAAAAGTAAAACGAAGTCAGCCAGAGCAGGTCTTGTATTTCCTGTTGCTCGTATTCAACGCTACCTAAAGAGGGGCAAATACGCAAAACACATCGGTACAGGCGCTTCAGTCTACATGGCAGCAGTCCTGGAATATCTCACAGCAGAAATATTCGAGTTGGCCGGTAATGCTACTCGTGATAACAAGAAACGTAGAATAACCCCGCGATATATACAGTTGGGTGTCCGTAATGACGAAGAACTAAACAAGCTGCTTGATGGTGTAATTATTCCCGGGGGAGGAGTCTTGCCAAACGTACACGCTGTATTGCTACCCAAGAGCACAACAGATAAAAGGCAAGCAGAGGACGAATCATAAATAAGACACACAAATTGTATCCTAAAACTGAAACTGTAAAAAATATGTACAAAAAGATGCCCAAAACGTATAAATATGTACACAATTAATGATTGGAATGTAATGTAATGTAATTATGTAATATAAACACTAAACAAGCTGCTTGATGGTGTAATTATTCCCGGGGGAGGAGTCTTGCCAAACGTACACGCTGTATTGCTACCCAAGAGGACAACAGATAAAAGGCAAGCAGAGGACAAATCATAAATAAGACACACGAATTGTATCCTAAAACTGAAACTGTAAAAAATATGTACAAAAAGATGCCCAAAACGTATAAATATGTACACAATTAATGAATTGGAATGTAATGTAATGTAATTATGTAATATAAACAGAGAAGTCGACGTTATGAAATGGATTATGCCGTCTATAAAGGCTAGTTCCACTCAGGAAAATTATCCGTGGATTAGAACGGACAAGAAATTTCGGCGCCAATTTAAAGTGGCCGCCATTTTGCAAAAACGTACATTAGTCACGCGAGATGAAGTGTGGAACTTGACCTGCGACTCGCAAGCTTGCTGCGAGCTGTTTTTGCGATGAGTGGAAAAGAGCCTTGAGATCTGGCTTACCGCGGGCTCCCTCGTTAAGCGGGCCAGTCCGGCTTCCATATAAACACAACCTCTAACATTCCACTTACTGTCGCAAAATTCCTTGATTTCTTCGATGTCTCGAAACTTCTTTTGCTTTTAGTTTTTCCTTGTACTCCCTTGCCCATTGCAAGTTTCGAACACCTGGCTTATAATTCAACAAGTTCTGTTTCATTAATTTCTTTCGCGCCAAATAACCACGGAATGTACTACAAAAGAAAAAATATTATGTGTAAAAATTTTAAGAACATCGAGGAAAAACCTACATGCAGTATTCAGCTAATATAAATATATTATAAATTTAAGTTAATGGGGCAATGCTCTCCATTTTATCTAACAAATTTAGTCTAATTTATATGACAATCGATTTGAATACGGAACAAAGGTCACAGACACACAGCTATCATTTGTACTAAAATATCAAAGGTCATATTTGTATTGGCGAAGCGTACACGTGCACATTTCATTTCTGACAATCACATCAAATTTCCGACAATTTTTGCCCAAGGTGAACGCTTGAGCACTGCAAAAACAAATGTAAAAGATAATAAATCACCTCTGCAAAGCAACTGCTGCTTTTCGTTGCCGTTCTTTCTCAGATTGCTTCAGGGAAGTGGCGTATTGTCGAGCCATATGACCCCGGAATATTCTTCAAAAAATAAAAGTTTATTGTTGTCAAGCATATATCTAAAACGATTTGGAAGGGAGTACGTCAACCTCGTACCCAGGGTATGGGAGTACGTCACCTTGGTTCATAGAGCCTCGTTTTCGTGATCGAGACGGTGGGCTTTAACCAATGTCAAATATTGGAAAACGAGGCTCTATATAGCCATGCTCTACAGGGTGTCTAAAAAAACGCTATGGAAATTCAACAGGCTGTCGTGCATCACAAACGTGGCTAAACAATCCAATTTTTACATAGGACGAAAGAACAGTTATTTGGCTTTTGAATGATACTCTTTTTAAATCGTAACGATGAGAAATGGCCACATACTCGTCAAATAGAAATTGCCGGTCGAAATCACATTCTTCCACCGTTGGGAATCGCATGGAAAACGAAACATAAACAATTCCCAAAAGGGAATTAAAATTGAATGTTAAATTATCTAAAATAAGCTCAACTCATGGCAACCCCTTGGGGAATAGATTTTCTGTGGTTCAATGCGTAGTACCATGGATACTCGACTACCACAAAAAGTTCCCAAGTAAAAAACTTGCCAAACACCGAGAAAATGGGTGATCAGTGATTATCCCCTATTAAATTGTATTACAGCAAGAAAATGTGAAATTTTATATTCAATTACAACAAAAATGACTTGCATCATCAGAAAGCTTACAAAAAACCGCATATAAGACATTCAAACAGTTTTTTGATCCTTCAAATAGTCGAGTTATTGCTGTTTTAAATGTGAAAATTGGACCAAAATGTCGCAATAAGGACTGGGTACTAGGTCAAAAACGCGTCTTTGACAGCGTATAACTCGAAAACAATTTGAGATATAAAAAAACTGTTTAAATGTCTTATATCCAGTTTTTTGTAAGCTTTCCGATGATGGTTTCCATTTTTGTTGTAATTGAATACAAAATTTCACATTTTTTTACTTAATACAATTTAATAGAGGATAATCACAGATCACCCATTTTCTCGGTGTTTGACAAGTTTTTGCTTGGGAACTTTTTGTGGTAATTGAGCATCTATGGCACTGTGCATTGAACCACAGAAAATCTATTCCCCAGGGGGTTGCCACGAAATTGCTTTTCCAAGCACTTTTTCGCACAACGGCCCACGGCCTATTAGTGAGACCATAAGAACGTCCATTATTGCATTAAACACTGTTCAATTAACCCCTGAACAGAGAACATTCGTAATGAAAACGTTTTACGAAACAAGTACCTTGCAGCAGACTCGCGGTGCTTTTGGATTGATTAATTTTGCATTTTTAATATTTTCAATTCCCAGCGGTGGAAGAATGTGATTTTGACCGAAATTTTTTATTTGACGAGTATATAGCCATTTCTCATCGTTACGGTTTAAGAAATATATCATAGAAAAGCTAAATAACAGCTCTTTCATCCTATGTAAAAATTGAATTGCCCTTTAGTTAAGTTTGTGATGCACAACAGCCTGTTGAATTTCCGTAGCGTTTTTTGTTTAGACACCCTGTAGATAGCCATACAAGGATGGATGTACTCGCGATCATAATTATCAGGTAATGCTACAAATATAACTGAAAATCCTGAAAAAATCTTATAAAGGGTATCACCAGAAAATTAACCGTATCTGAAACAGAAACATGGCACTACCACAAAATTATAAAAGAGCGTCTGCCAGTCGGCGGAGCTCGAGATTACTGGTACCGGGTACCCCCAGGGACGACATTTTACAGAGTACAGACGACCCCTTTAGATTGACTGGAAATATAACCATGGCTGCCACAAAAAGCAATCCATGACAGGGACTTTTAACCCAATCAGGGATTTTTGTCAGAGAAAAATAGAAAATAGTTTGCAACCGAATTAAAGAAACGGATTTGATCGCTTTCATTGCATACATTAATCGTTTAAATATTTTTATTTATTTTAATTTGTTATCATTGCACACTAAAATTAGGTATGTTTCAGGTTGCAAAAGCGTATAGTACTACCAGTACTTTTTTACTGCCTTCTTATAGGCAAAAGCGCGTCGATGAACCTTGAATTGAATGCAATAAGTGAACCACTTTCTACCATAGTCTGGTGAATGTACCAGCAATCTGGTTATATTTGACCAGGATGTCCTGGTTGAATTAACCAGACTATGTTAGGTGGATAAATAACCAGGGTCCCTGACTCCCTGCGCTGAACTGATTAAAAAATAGTACCTCTGAATGTTGATTGCAGCCCAAACTTCACGTTGACGTTTGTAATCATCCATAAGTTCCAACTAAAATGAAGCGATACTAGTGAGAGGCAATCGAGCAATGAGCAGAATGCCGTTATAGCCGGCTGCAAGGCGTCAAGCAATCCCACGAGACTTTAACACAAAGACGGATGTAGGTCAAAGAATGAGATTCTAATGACATTCTAATGACATTCTTTTACTTAAATGCCTTCCATTTGCACTGAACTAGAGCATGATGAAAGCTACCTATAATATCCGTGAAATTCATGACCAACGTATTAATATGTACTACTATAGAAATAGTTCAAGGAAAAATTAGCAAAAGTTTCTGTGCTTTCTCTGGAAGAGTACACTGAATGCGAACTAACGCATTGTTTAACTAGTCAATACAAGACGGCCCCTCATGTTCTAAACATGTTCTCATGTTCTCAACTCCATTCTACGGGGATAGGATTACCATTCTATACCATGTTACTTCATCTTTGGGTCAAAAACTCAAACGAAGCGTTTTATAATACAACGTCCGATTTTCAAATCTTCTAGAATGGTGAACATAGTAATATACATACATCATCATCAAAGCAGAAATGTGAGAAATGTTTCACTGAAAAGTTCGCAGGTGGAATATTTTCTTTGTCTGATCGTCTTGCTGACGTAGGTCGACTATGAACCGGGGTGGGGCTGGGTCTCAGATCACGTGATTCAGGCTTATAAGCCGGTGGCCTTCTTGGTTCCGGTGATATGGATCGTGCGCTGACACTGAGAGAACTAGAGTCGAAACTATTTCTAAGATTTCTTCTTTGTGGTGTTAGACAGGAAAACATTTCATTCATGATGTTTTGAGCCGAACTAGGGGAACTTGGTGCGTCCTTGACAGTGTTTCGGTTTTCGTCTAATGTGATCTTCTTTGAGCCAGTGTTGATGGGAGGATTTAGTTCAGTCTCGTCAGGGATGTTAACAATTGTCAAACCTACATATAGTTAAGAAAACATCCATAAGACCCAATTGTACCACAGGTTTGTTAGTGTGAATTCACTATTATGTGCTACCCTCTTGAAACAGTTTTTCATTCGTTCATTCATTCATTCGTTCGTTCATTCAACCTTGAGTATAATTCTATGTCGTTATCGGCTACGATTTTCAATCCCGATTTGGGCTTTCATGAACGAATTTTTCATCAGGTAGCCTGAAATATCAGGCGTTCATTAAGTGATCGGATTCCATTTATTTTTGACACTTCCAATATTAAACTTCACCTTTCTTCTGTGGTAACTGCCTCCAAAACGGCAGATATTCTACGTTTTGTTTTGGCTTCGCATCTTCATAAACATCATCATGGGGAGCAAGAGGTTCGATTGAATCTTCAACAACAAATTTAGGGTAATCCCATTCGGGTTCGAAACTAGACAATACAAAATATCTGTATATAGCGATAAGATTTGAGAACCAACTGACAATCAGAATCATAAAATGTCAACAAATACAGCGATAAGACTTAAACCAACTGACAATGAGAAAATGCATGCAGACTAACATGATAAATACAAAAAAAATATTATCTGAGTTCATTGAGAGGAGGTGTGGGGAGGTGCGCACTTCCCCTGAAATGAAATATAAATGTATAAAATTCATATTATCAAAATTATATAAATTATAAAACCCCTTTACTGCATGATGTTTCTTATCTTGCTTAGTTCTTGAAATATTTCGACTGAAAAGCTTGAGCTGTCCGCCATCTTGGTTTTGACGTAACCAAAACCAAGATGTCAAAAGCAGGGTTGGGGGTCATAATGATCGCTGCATATCGGGATAAAATATTTTGCTTGACCCTGCTTGTAACGTTACATATGTGCTTATCCACATTCCACAATAATAAAAAATGGCAGACAGCACACTGACTTATGATGATTTCGGTCAAAATATTCTGAACATTTGAAGAAGCGGTAAAATAGTTTTCTACACAATTTTAAAAGTTCTTTCAGATGACATAAACTAATTTTTTATTGCCATATCAGTTTGTGTCAGTGACCAGACAGGTAGGATTTGTCCCTTCAAAAGACAAGATCGAGTTACCTTTCACGTCGGCGGTTCGTTCCTAAATGTCTTATAACCATCAGAGATGCTATAGTTCTCTTATCCAAGCTACGTTCTCCCGTTAGCATGGCAACGTCATTACTTAGGACAGGTGGAGGAGATCGTGGAGACTTGTGGGGTTGCGCTTCTCTAAAAAGAATTCATATAATATTTCAGATTTATCGATTTTTTGCGTCCATATGGCATATACTGTGGTAGATAATTTATTGGAAAGTGGATTATGTAGCTTAGTGATTAGCTTGATCAAAGCGCTGACCCACGCTCACAGAAACGGGACTGTTGTCTTGTAAGAAAGTCCTTGAATTCCAGGCCTGGAAAGCCCTTAAAAATTAGTGCAAGTCCTTGAAAGTCCTGGAATTTTTTTCCAGGTATGTTGATAATACTTGGACGTTAGACTATTGATTTTGAATAAATAGTAATGTTGAACAAAGTCCATGCCATTTTCAAATGTGAAAACTCCCATGGGACATGAATAATAAAATAATAAGTTATTGCATTCCTAAGCTATATCAAACGACGACGACTCTTTGGAAGGAAAATTTAAAGCATTGCAGATGTGGATATATACTTACACCGGGCTTCGTTTTCTAAGATACGTTCTGTTGCCAAAACCATCATCAGTCCACCTACAAAAATATATTTGTTATCAAACAAATAATAACATTGTTTGTTATCTAACCACCTAATCACTGGCATCAAAAGTATCTTGTTTGAATAAAAATCTGTCATATGCCTTTTCCCCGAGCCAACGTTATACGCCCGGGACGAGGGTACTACTTCCGCTCGGCTATGTACACCCGGGAAAATGAAAGCATTAGCGAATTCTAAAGTTCATCAAAAATCGCGGCCGCTCAACCTTTACTGGATGTAACTGCACTATGTGGGCCAGCCCTCCCTGTTGCGTTTATATGGAAAATTTCCAACCCTACCAGGCAAGATCTTGGGTGGTCAATAGCGAGATCTCGCCTAAGAGGGCTGACCCTCCTCTCGCATAAGCGAAAACAATTTTTAATAACAAAGAGTTCAATTAACACGCGATATCTCGCCTAGTAGGGCGAGCCCTTCATTTATAGGGTTCAAAAAAACATCCCCTAAATCGCATTCATGTACAGTACTTGCTCACCTTGCTGAATACTTACTGATAACGTATGGAGTCAGGTGACACGGGTCCGGATACTTTAAAGTCTTTGACAGGTGGTTCACGGTTGGATTGATGTGGGAAATGTACTGTATAGTCGCTGGCTTTCATCTCAGGATTCAAGTCTGGTTCTGTAAGCTTTAAAATCTTCTGGTTGTCATACTTTCTACAATAGAAAACAAAATAACCCATTTAAAACTCTGTATCAGAGCTTTATGGTACCCTTCGACAAGACATCACGCTCAAAATATATATCTGCACCCACAGACAATCTTGTAAAATCCTTCCCAGGGTTAATGAAACACCTCAAACGGGAAATGGTTTGTCTAGAGCTTAATAACTATGACCTGTTATTAATAGACGACAGGCATCTATACTGGTGACGGTGGACAATAGGTTCGGAGTGGTACATTGCCCTTCCCCCCGCCCCTGATCAGGTGGGTGCACCCAAATTATATAAATCATGTAAATTTCTGTCTCTACTGTTCTTGAATTTGTTCAGTAGCCAGAACAACTTGCGCCTTATACTGTACCTGTCTACTCCACCATGAAATATAGCACGGGCAGGAGCAGAGTGGAGCCTTTGGGAAGACTGGAGCGATTCATGGTCATAATTTCCTGGTTCCATGTCCCAAATACTAACACCATTTCTCTGAAAAAGAAACGGAAACTTTTTCAGAATAGTTATACAAACACAAATTCCGCGTTCGGACATAAATACGCGAAAAATGAATCCTTGCATCCTCTCAAAATATTGGATGACATCAAAATAATTTAGGACAAATAAGACGTATTAATACTAATTAGTATTTTTACACAAGTGAGTGAAGAAATCCGACGTGGTGATTGGTAAAATTTGACGTGATATTCCCTTATATTCACCAACAGGTTAATTAATATAACAGTAAAAACTAGTTTGCAAAATGGCGGATTGTGGAAGTTACTGATAAAGAAATAAGCGAAATTAAAATAAATTCAGTGTAAAAATACTAAAACAATTATTCGCCTCAGGCTCGGTGATTATCGGTGAATATTCCCCGATAACCACCTCGTCTTCGGCAAATAATTGTTAAATATTATACAACTTTTATAAATGGGCCTGCATGCTCACCCGAGTGGGATGAATTATTTCTGTGTTCATATGAGTGTTTTTATGCCACATGATACCCCCCTTGGTGGGACCTTATATCCTTGCACTATTCACCTCGGGATAAAACAAAACGGCTTCCCGTTTTGTTCCGGTTACAGACAAGCAAATTATCGTATACGACGCTGGGGTTTCGCCAAACACGAAGAAAGCCAAAGCTTTGTTTAACCCATTGAGTGGCAGCACTCTCCCCCGAAGTAAAATCGTCTGGCGTTAGACAGAGTAAAATAATAAAGTAGGGCGCATTGCCACTTAAAGGGTTAACAGTGTGTAGAGGTATTCGTTAAAGCTATTTCTAATGAATGTTTATAACTATTACGGGAGCTGAAATACAAATTGTTTTAAAACTATTTTCGTTGTTTTTTGGTCATTTTCATGAAAAATCATATTCAACGTTATGATGTCATGCTGCGGGAATACGAATAGGAAATGTGGAAAAACGAACAAAACAATATGGCCGCCTTCGGCCGTATTTGTAGGTTTAAAGGAAACAACTTTTAAAATATAAAGAAATATCAACGAAAACAGCCACGGAAGGTTTTGAAACACCTAACGTACTTAAGATTTTCTGCAAATGGGAAAAAGAACTGGCCATTATTTCGACGAATTCCACAGGTGCGGATATCTTTTTCATCAACACAAACGTCACGCTTGATAATTATTCGTATCATGATCAACTTCATTCAATAATTGTTAATTTTTCTATATATTAATTGTTTGGAGTAATTGTACACAATGTACCTGCATTTCTCGTTGGTATTTCATCTGTTCGCTAACAGGTTGCACCATATCAAGGACAGATTCAACACGTACATCTTTATTTCTGGGGAAAACAAGATTTTCTCCTTATTTATAGTGAAATATATAGTAATGTAATTCTAAGTTAGGGTGTTTCGACTGTTTTAGTCCATTATAATCTAATTTCACAGTTCAATCATAGATTTCGTTCTATACCACTACTGTACAACATAAATCCACTAGAATTCTTGCATGAAGGGGTGAAATAGCAACTAGGATTGACCAATTTTTGGACTGCGAAAGTAGGATTTGAGTTACTGGGAATGACAGACACAAGGACAGGAATGGGGAAACCCATATACCATTATAAAGACAGTTGCAATTTGACATTTCAGAATAACTTCAAGAGAAGCTATGGAGCAACTTTTGATTGAGAGTTGGTCTAAAAATGTCCTCTGCTATTGTGAGGCAGAGATTTACTTAGTATGTAATAGAAAATGACAGGTATTTATAGTTGAAACTTGGATTTGGTAAAAAAAATGGTTGTGAAATGGGGTTTAGAAAACAAAATGGGCTCGGAAATAGGATCTAGACCCTTCCTTCGGGACCCTCCAACATAACTATCAGCTTTAAACGTACCTAAATTCTACAGCAGAAACTGGCCGGTGGCTTGAAATATCATACAAATTGACTGTTGGTAAAGTGGAAGCAGCACGAGATGCACGAGACTTTGCATGCATTTCATTCTCGTCTCTTAAAAATTGTTTATGTTCTCGCAATAACTGTGACTGAAGGCTTTCTTCTTCTTGGGCTAAGTTTTCAGTATCTTTTTGCAAATTTTCGACTATTTCAACTTGTTTTTTCTTTTTCTCATTTTGGAAGCGCTGTCTCAACTGATCTTGGAACAGACCAGCCTCTTCATCAGCTACTAGATTTGCGTCAGAAATATCACTTGTTTCCATATTATCTGTGTCATATTCTTCTTCGTTCTTTCTTGTTGAGTTTCTACGGGTATCTGTTTTCAAACTCATGTGTTCTACTTCCAAATCCGATAATTCACCAAGCGACGGTTTGTCAGAAGAACCTTTGGTTATCTTTCCAGAACGAGATTTAGGTAAGTTTGAACAGAATCTATATTAAAAGAAATTCGTGTCGATAAAATAAAATGCGAAAAAAGAAAGTGCGACAGCCCGCCAACTTGTTTCTATATGTGACCTAATTGACTGGGGTTTTAGAGATATCAAAACAACGGTATACATGTGGTTGACTGCATTTTAATGTGAGTTTTTTTTTTAATTTCTCCGAACCAACTGGAAATGGAAAAGCCAAAAAATCGAGATCGAGTTTCAGACTTATATATAAAATGTGGTTATCAAAATAAATAATTTTATTATTTTTCTTGCGGTCTGAAGTCATATTTTACGCTTTTCTGCAATCTGATTGGCTACGCGAGATTTAAAGCCGTAGAGCCAATGTTTTTATTTTTCAAAATTTAAAGACGAGTTTAAAGGCTACTTTTTAAAATATTAAAATGTCTGCAGACGATGAAAAACACAGTGAAAGCGAATTTTACTATCTCACAAAAGATATTACTCTTCCCGATAGCATTGATAGAAACGACGTTTTATTTGGCAGCTTCATTCGCGTGCGGGAGGAGTGATTGGGGGAAATCCAGATTCCAGAGAAGTAATTAAAAAAATAAAAATATTATTTACCGAGAGCTGTGGCTAGGACACAATCATATTTATTTGGGCTAGATATACTGCACAAGAAAATCGCTAGCTAAGACTATCGGGAGAAGTGTGGAAAGGGAGATGTATTTCCTGTCTTTGCTGCTATCATGATATTTCCCGGCACATACCTTGCGACTGGAGATGATCGCGGTGAATGGGAAGGTGATAGCATTCGTCTGGAAAGTCTGGGCGACACAGAAGGACTGGATACTGGTGATGAAACTGGTGGTGAAGTTGGATTGAAAGGTTTTAACACAAACGTCGAGGGTAACGACGATTTCCTCGGCTTATGGATAGCAATCTGAGTGAAAAATATACCATTCACAAAGAGTTTTGTCGCGGATTCTCAGACACTATACAGATACAGGTATACCAAATATTAATGCCAGCAAAGCCAATCTCGTACCCAGGGTATGCCCGTTCGCAGGTTAAGTGCATTCCCTGCAATCCTGGACACAACCCTTGAGAACCTTCTAGCCAATATTGCAAAGTTAATGCACATTGACAAAGCAAATTTAATCACCCCCTCTTCCACAGTTCAATGTTGTAAACAACGCCGAAACAACTTTTGGTAATTTAGCATGACACAAGCTCCACATTGAGTTGGGGGAGCGGGGGCTTAAGTAAAGCCCTGGGCAAACTAGGAAACATTGTTGCGGAAACATTTGTGATTCTCGATGTTTCCTCAAATGTTTCCATGTTTGCCCACCCGTGGAAACATTGTGCGGAAACAAAATTTGCTTCCCGGGAAGCAAAAATGTTTCCTACCAAATTCAGAAACATTTGATGTTTCCCTATGTTTCTCACTAATGTTTCCTAGTGTTTGCCCACTCTGGGAAACATGGCGAAACATTGGCAGGAAACAATGTTTCCGCAACAATATTTCCTAGTTTGCCCTGGGCTTAACGCAACATGATTCAACGTGGGGTAATCTCAACCAATTATGTCCACGATTGTGGGTAGGAGATTGCAGGAGCGCAGGCTACACAGTATACTTACTGCAGGGGCAATATTTCGCTGTTTGAACCTGGAATGGCTGTCATAGTTCATATATTCAGTGAACCCAGAGTCCTCTTTAGTAGCTCCACCATTTAACGGCACTACTTTCAGTGATACTGAGATTCTATCCAAAGGATTGTAATCTTTTCTCTGTAATGTTAATTCAAAGAATGCCAGTTAAAACCTAGTATTTACTTGTATTAATGTTATACCTGGTGTTTATTTGAAGGGCTTTCGCTCAAAAGGTCAAAATTTTATTTGCATTTTTCAGGTAGTTGAATCCCATTCAATCCCAAGCTTTCTTCTTCCAGATTCCAGTCGGTATAAATATGTTTAAGGGCAAATATTTGATTATTTGAGCGAAGGACCTTCCTACACAGTTATACTATTATGATTAATCATTATTTGCACTGATGACAATCTTGGTTTCCGGATCGAAAGCCCCTTTTCAAAATAAATAAACAATGGTGTTATCACAAAACAAAAGTGACAAACTTACTATAATTGCATTTATTTTATCATGCAATCATATTCTGCATCTAATAATTTTTTAAGGCGGGCTAAAACTGCACGAGTTGGAAATGTGTTTTCTAATTATACCTAATATGATCTAATTTAATCTTCCTTCCTTAATTTCCTTCGAGTACTGCATGATCCCTATAACAGTGGTCTGTTTCCTTCTGCAGGGGCAACATTATTTAATCATGACGTGAATGTAGACTATATTTCATTGTTTAAATTACAGAGTCTGATTACAATTGTGCTAATCGGGCCAATTTTTGGCAATTAATAATAATAATAATCCATCCTGACTCACGGATAGCATAAACTCACAAAGAGCCTAACGAAACAGGTAGAGAAGACTCCAAAAGTGCCATTTCCGACGATTTGAAGACTCAAAAGTTTCATTCAAAACATGCAGTTATTATCGTTTCAATGCATGCTTTCGTCATCCGATCGTTTTTTAAAAGTTTTTCTTATTTACAAAATGCTATCACTTGTCTTATGTATTTTACTTATAACATAATTTACCTTTTTGATTCTTTCATTTTCATAAGAACCTAATGCAGATTTTGAGTGAGTTTCACGTTGATACTTCATGTTGTGACTTGTTTGGGAGCCACGGTAGCAGTTACCATCTGCTGACTTGGGTCGTAAGTATAATTTCGGAATTTCAATGCTTTTATTTACGTCAACCATAGCGCTTCCTTTTTCATTTGTATCCTTGAAAAAAAAACCAGAATGGGTTTAAGAAAAAAACTGCAGGATCCTTTAAATAAATAAGGTTAAATATTTAGTTTCATTCTCAATTACGAGCCTGTAATTTACACTTCATGGTTTTCAATAGTTTTATTATTTTATCTTTGTGGGCAAATTAAATACATTTGTTTGAATAAACAGTAAAACTTGCTATTTAGGAGCCATATTAACACCAAAGCGTATAAATCACTCGTATAATAATAACATGTTATTGACTTGTTAATTGACGCCTCTGCTGTAAAAAAGTGCCCCTTTTCTGCTTTAGAAATCACTCTTGTGCGTTATTGTACCCTTGAGAGTTCAATTTAATTGTATATGAACGGCGGAAGTATTTACAACTTCCCTTCGTTCAAAAATTTAACACTTCCGTTACACTTTGCGTTAACGTATAAGTTGTAACGACAAATACTCGTTGCTCTGTTGTCAGTTGACCCATTCTTACTCGAACTGTCGGTAAGACGAATTCGTAATTTGACATTTTTTGTGTTGCTGTTCGTTTTAGAAGCTATTTTAAACTCCCAGAGGTATAACAACGCACGTTCGACAACAAAAGAGTGATTTCTATAGAGGGACTCTTTTGGGACAACCGGTAGTGTAATGTATACTATAGCCTGTAGGGAACAATAGAACTAGTCCTCCCGACAACATACTGCCTTGAGACATGGCTTTCGAGATTTCAATATATTCACAGATGACATTGGTGACTTTCAGATTATCTGGTAGTATTGGTGACTTTCAGATTATCTATTATCGCTCTATAGCTAAAAACGAATCTATACAAAATGAAGAAGATGAACTTTATTGATGGTGGGAAGGTTTATGGGGACTTACAGTGTCTTCACTGATCAATTTCTGATGAGACAAAAACCATTCATACACTTTCAAGACATCTTCATGTTGTCTCTCCACACTTTGAAAGCTATAGATATATAAACAAACACTGACAATTTTGCCCATAGTACGATGTGTAAACATTTTCTATAACCATCGATTGCAAAAGCCACAGGATCTAATCGCGCATTAACACTTTCCACTCATCACTTTTCAACAATTATCACCACAGCTAGAAAGAGCATACTAAATTACTATAATAAGTGGAATCAATTTCCGTACGCAATACAAAAGTAAACGAAATTTGCAAACTTTGCAAGGCTATATTTTCCGCATTTTACAACATTTCGCAACCAAACTTTGTAATTTTACTCATTTTAGTATGCTCTTTCTAGCTGTTGTGATTTATTTACATCTCCTTGCCTACAGTTTTAAAATTAGTCTATAATGGGAATTGTCTATTTAACTCGAAAACGACATCGCTAACCCAGAATTTTTATTTCATAAAATGGTTTCTCTTCAGTATATTGAATCACTTTGACAATTTTAAAAATTTCTGTCGAGCCAAAAAAAATATTATGAATAATTACATTTACCTAACTTGAAACGTTTTGCCTCAACAGAATTTTTTTAAATTGTCAAAATAATTCAATATGCGCTAAGAGAAATCATTTTATAAAATAAAATTGGGGGTTACGATGACGTTGTCGAGTTAAATTATTTTAAAGCCAAAATAATCGCCATATTGTATTGAAACGTCATTGTTGCCACAGCAATGGCAGTCGTATAACTTTTGTGAATAAATTCGACTAATTCTCTAGATGTTGTTTACGTAGGTAAGATATTATTCGCTTTTGAACAAGTAATAATTATCCAAAAATTCGGATGCCCCAAATCCTGATATTTACCCAATACACCTTACATTGGCGCCACCTTGATAATATATACCGCGGGTGTCCCCCAAAAACTAGACACTGCACTGTTTGATTAATGTGACGTAAAATCTATAAAAGCTATCGCAATAAAATCAGGATCATTGCATTCAGAAAGGACTAACTTAGGACTAACATGAAATCAAACAGTGTCCAGTTTTTCCGGTATACAATCATGAACTTGCGGTTAGAATTCGACAACTGCAGGGCTCTGTAGCTCAGCTGATTAGAGCGCTGCACCGGAATTACAGGGCTGCAAGAGTTCGATGACTGTCAGTAGGCCTATAGTTACATTTTTCGCAACTGCTCCTGGCTATATTTTCCTCATTTTACAACATTTCGCGGCCAAACTTTGCAATTTTACTAATTTTAACCTGCTCTTTCTAGCTGTGGTGATGGATTTTGTTCTTCTTGCCTAGATCGAAATTTAGTCTATATAGCTGGAATAATCTATTAATGTCATCAACAAATGTTAAATCTACATCAAAATATACAACTGTATAATAGAAACAAAATATTAAATAGTTTGCGCAATTACCTTGCAACGTCGTAAAGCAATTTCAGCAGGATGTTATAAAAAGGTTTCTCATATGTGTCACCATTATCATAAAGATATGGCCTAGAACAGCCAAAATAAAAAACTAATTTTAATAACGCCTCTTATACCGATAGTGAATTAATGAGCGGGAACCGACTTTAATTCGTCGCTTAATTGAAGAAGTAATACCTTAAATCAAGTTCCCTGCGTTCATTTCTTCCCTTCATCTTTGTTTGTTCCTTGTGAAATTTCTCTAGTTCAACCATCATTGTATTATACTCAGGGCAAGTGGACATCAACTTAAAAATAAAATTAGCGTAAAGATATTATCCGACTCGAGTTGACGTCATCAATTTTTCATCACTATCTACAGATCTTTGCCCAAAATCTTCGCAGCTCAAAATAGTCTATACTGAAAATGTTTCACTGAAAGTGGCTCACGAGCCGCCCTTGTTTGTTCCCACATTATGTCATAATGCATGTGTATCTATGACTGAACAGACAACGACAAAATCTTATCTATTTGTTTTATATAATAAAAAAAAAACACGAATCAAACGGATTAGCTGGTACGTCTTTATGTGCTACTCGCGCACTCGGTTTCCCATATGGCAAGTTTGCTCGTGCCTCTTACGGTAATCGTCGGGCCGTATGTTAGATAACTTTCTTATCTATTTGTTTTATATATTATAATAAAAAGAAAAATCTTATCTATTTGTTTTATATAATAAAAAAAAAACACGAATCAAACGGATTAGCTGGTACGTCTTTATGTGCTACTCGCGCACTCGGTTTCCCATATGGCAAGTTTGCTCGTGCCTCTTACGGTAATCGTCGGGCCGTATGTTAGATAACTTTTATGGTTAATACGTTTTCCCTCGTGAAATAAATAATAAAGTTTCTATAGTCGTCAAAAGTCGAATAAATTTTATTACAAATTAAAGTCGAATTACAAACAGGTAAATAGCTTACATTTGGAAATTTGAAAAAGTCGAAATTTTACAAATATCACGCGTACATGTCTACATGATCTATACAAATAAGGGAATGCTATTGGACAAGGTTTTTTTTGCGACGTAATTTCGTGCGTCTGTCCTCTAATAGATCATGGCTCTCGACCAATGAAAACGCTAAATTCTTAACGTTATTATATAACATTCTAACTACGTACACTTTTTCCAATAAAATTCACTGTCTATTAATGGACAACTTGCATGTTAGACTAAATTTTAATCTAAGTAAAGAGAAGGGAATCAAACACAACAGTTTAAAAAGAACATAATGAAATCAGTAAAAGTGCAAAATTTGGTTACGAAATGTTGTAAATTACAGAAAATATAGCCTTGCGAAGTTTACATATTTTCAGTATATTTGTATTACGTGCGGAAATTGTTACCATTTTCGGCTCAAAAATGGTAACAATTTCCGCACGTAATACAAACATACTGAAAATATGTATCTTTACTCTTTTCACAACTTAATCCCAGTAAGGTCTCCTTAGATATTCCTAATAAGTTGGTAAGATTAGCTCATCATTTACTCTCAGTGCCATTAACAATGCTGTATAATGAATCCATTATCTCTGGTATTGTTCCTGATGTACTGAAAGTCTCGAAGGTAACCCCAGTTTACAAAAGTGGAGTAATGACTGAATCTGGAAATTATAGACCCATATCAATTCTGTCTCCCTTTAGTAAGGTTTTTGAACGTCTAATTTATGATCAACTATTGTCTTTTGTTAAGAAACAAAATATTTTATATCAATTTCAATTTGGATTTAGAAAAGGCTATTCTACTGAACAAGCCATTCTTGAAATTACTGACTACCTTAAAACAGCAATAGACAATAAACTCTATACCTGTGGAATTTTCTTAGACTTTTCAAAAGCGTTTGATACTGTTAATCATAATATATTATTAAGAAAACTTGAAAAATACGGAATAAGAGGCTTACCCCTGCAATGGTTTCTAAGCTATCTAACTATATAATAGAGCTCCGTTTGTACAGATAGGTAATGTCAAATCAGATCTATTAACAGTAAAATGTGGTATACCACAAGGGTCAACACTTGGCCCACTTCTCTTTCTTCTTTATATAAACGATTTACCAAACTCCTCTGACATATTACAATTTAAAATATTTGCTGATGATACAAATATATTCTATTCCTCAAAAAACCCTAATATACTACAAAATGTTATAAATGATGAATTAATTAAAGTATATCAGTACTGTTCAGCAAATAAACTCTCAATAAACTTCAAAAAGACAAATTATATGCTAATGACATCAAGACCAAGAAGAAATACTTTAATTGATATTCCTAATATTACTCGATCGTACAAGTTGTATAAAATATCTTGGTGTTTATACTGACGAGCATCTTCAATGGCATAATCAAATCACACATGTTAATAGCAAAATAGCCAAGAATATAGGAATTTTATTTCAACTACGACGTTATCTTAATATACACATGTTAACTAATCTTTATTACACTCTTATCTATCCATATCTGAGCTACGGCTTAATGAGTTGGGGAACTACTTACAAAAGTAAGTTAAATCAGTTATCATCAAAACTTAACAAATGTGTTAAGTGTATATTTTCCGCAAATAGACGTGAGAATCCGAGTCCATATTACAAATTACTTGGGATCTTAAAGCTGGATAATTTGATTAAATTTAAAACAGCAACATTTGTGAGTCAAATAAGGAACAGAGGTAATGAAATTCCAGAACTATTCTCAGAACTGTTAGTACTTGTATCTAGTGTGCATTCTTATAATACAAGGTATGCATCCCAAGATAATTACTATCGGCCAGCTGCTAGAACAAACTATGGCAAATTTTCATTTAAGTTTTTTGCTTCTCAATTATGGGAGACTATACCCGTTTTCCTTACATCACTCCCTTTTAATTCTTTCAAAAAGGAATATAAAAACTTTCTACTTTATAATCAGGAATAATCTACTACTTCAGATCTCTTCTACTTTATCTCGAATATTTATATATTAGTTTTATTTTCTTGTGTTTGATTGCTTATTTGTTATTCTATACTAAATAAATTGAGAGCTAAATCGGCTTACATTACTCTGACATTGCGGCAACCAGCTCGAAAGCTTTGCTCCTCTGGCTGTCGCTCACTACTACTTTTTTGGTTTGAAATTTCATAGATTTAATTATCTTTAACTCCTACAATATACTTTATTTTTCTTCCTGTATTTTAAAAAAAAAAATGTAATGATATGAAACAGTGTTAATAAAATATTGAATTGAATTGAATTCGCAAGGCTATATTTTCTGTATTTAACAACTTACATTTCGTAACCAAATTTTGCAATTTTACTGATTGTAATAAGTTCTTTACGGAAATTTGCTTTTTTTTTGCCTAAATCAAAAATTAGTCTAACATGCAAGTTGTCTATTTCTTTGCATGAGTAAATGAGGACATAATCCAGTACACGTAATTATGCAGTTGCTATATGCGACGCGAATTTTGCTGCATCTATAGCAACGCAATTCCCGACATAGAGGTACAGTATAACAATATGTTATTTAATGAAATTGTGAGCATCATACAGACATGAAAGAAATGAAGGAAGTTCTGTGAAATGAAGGACATGCTTTGAATATCGTCTATATAACATGGCTCAGAAATTGCGTTGCAAGTTGTAGCAAACATTGCCTCGTGTAATTATATGGTCTTTATAGTTGAGGGGCCGGTTGTACAAAGGTCGAACAGTCATCGGATAGTGATTATCTTAACCGTTATAAATTAATAAAAATGGTTGAAAATCTATCAAAATATGGATACTGAACTCATTATTAGGCGGGCCAGGAAGCGGGTCGCCCAATCTTCCGAGCCAGAGGCTCATGTTAAAAGCGCTCGACATAAAATATTAATTTAATAAAAAGAGACTTTAATAAATATATATATACTGAAGTTTAATCTGGGTTATATACTGTACCATTAGTCCATTACCAATATTGGCAAGAAGCAGGCAATTCCAAAAACTTGAAAAATCACTATCCTTTGGATAGTGCTATTCACTATTCGTAGCTATACAACCGGGCTCTGGGCTACCCAATTCAACATACAAAAAAGATTTTTAAATTTCCAATTCTAATAACATTTAATTTAATAAATATATATATCGTTACTACTAGTGTTTTATTTCCAAAAGACTGTTAATAAAACTATGTTATAAACAGAATATGGTTTCAAGACTCTTGCCTCTTGGGCTTAACATTACATTTTTGGGTAATATTCGATGTGTATAACTTCGGTGCAAGTCTGTACACAAAGATGGCAGTCAATTTTCAACCCAATTGATTCTTTTTGACGCGTTTTAACTACATTTGTGTATAACATAGTTTCAACAGCCTTTCAAAAAATTATTCAAAGCTCTAGATCGAAGTCACAGAATAGATATAGGGTCGAAGTACTGAACATCACCAAATTAATGTGACACGTCAACCTTTTTTGTAAAATGTTACCATGGATTATCTGGCCACTGTCGCTGATAAACAAGCCTCAACAAGCTTAGAACTCTATTTTAGGTACATTTGAGAGGGTGGGGGCTTATCAGAGATGGGAGCTCATTCGGGAGCCCAGAGGGGGGAGGGATATTTGCCCCAGGCCCAGCTAAAGAAGGCCCCCAAAGGCAAAATAACGTGAACTAGACATAGATTATAAAATTCTTCCAGGGGAGAATGCCCCTCCTAACATACCTTAGTTCCACTTGATGAGGGCCACTTGATGATCACAAGGGCCAAACGTCATTTTTTGCCCCAGGCCCCCATTTTTTGCCCCAGGCCCCCATTTTTTGCCCCATGCCAGGCGACCGCCCCCCCAATCGAAAAAAAAAATTCTCTGAAAAAGGCTAAATCCGTAGAGAAATGGGGGGGGGGTACACGTTACATCCTCGAAGCTAAAACTGATTAAGTATGTCTCGACTGAGGAGAACGACAATATACTGGAGGAACTTGATTTGTAAAATCTTGTTAGAGCGACTAGGCAGTTGTAGATATGGTTCCAAGAAGAATAGATTTAGTTTAGATTTACATGTATGCATTTAATATATATCACACCATGAATATTCTTCTCAGACTTATTCTGTATCGTATAAAAAAGCAACGCAATTTTGAGAATGTGGAAATGCTGTCTCATAAAACCTAGAATGATTTAAATGCAACATTTCTGATCAAAATCACATTGGGATTTTCTTCCCCCAGCATCACAGAGGGGAAATAAGGTCTCCTCCTGTTTTTCAAGGTGAATTTTCCAATTTATTTAATTCCGAGTAGAAAATTAGAAATGTCTGGGAAAATTCATGTCTTCGATGTACTTTATAATCTTCGGAATTCTGCAAGATTTCACCCCCAAAATGCTTGAAATTGCATTTTAGGGACTCTAGATTTCAAAATTTTCCCGGGGGTGCATGCACTATCTCGCGCCTTTGGTGTTCGCTTCGCCCCCGCCCCAAAATGAAGGTCTGGCTACGCCACTGCTGACCTAAGATCACAAGATCCAAGAAACCAAGGATCAAGATATTATATGGAAGCAGGGCTGCCCCATTAGTGAGACTGTCCAGTAATTGGGATGGATTTAGCTTACAAATGTTAATATAATTTATTTTATTTGACTGTTTCTACCAATAGTTTGCAGTGGTACTTTCATGCATTCCAGCACCCAGGATAGCCCAGTTAGTATCAGTGTTGATATACCCAGGATCTCACCCCCTTGGAATGAGATCTTTGAAACCATGACAGTCCAACTACAACTGTCAAATTACAAAATAATAGTACACCGTAATGGTATAGTGCATTGGGTAAAATAGTTAATAAGTAAATAGAACATTATGATCTTCGAAATGCACAATTTTAATAACATGTAAACACGAGTAATCATACAAACTGTATTAATATTCAAGATAGTACCATATAGATCTAGTTGTACCCTTACAATTTACTATTCTAATGCTGAATCGAAAACGTACATATATGAAACGCCTCGCTATTTTGTGACAGCGCGATATCAGATATGTCTACAATTCGATCAAATACTAAAAACATCCAAACGAAATGGTGTTTATATTCCTGCATACCTTTGATGCTCGAAGTGTTTTAAGATCCCTTTCAACTGTAGTTCCCATAGTGAACTGTTCATTTGAATATCACATTCGGACGGGCCATCCCAGTCAAGAATTGGTATTTGTAAAATCAGATTTGACCCCAACACTTTGTTTATGTTTTGGATAATTCAATCACATTTCTTTAACATATTTATTCTGTGGTCAATCCAAGTCGAAGATCATTACTGATTATAGCAAGCGTGAAAGCTGCTTAGTGATTGCACAGCAACCATTGTTCTCCTGACACTAAGTAAACCGAAAGATCAATATTAAGAAAATTAATGCAAGATGCTGATCAACTTTTAATCCTGATATGCATGCCATAAAATATTCACGCCATTGTAAAATATTATATATAAATGGCACATTGGCATCGCACAGAGCATGCCCGTTCGCAGGTTAGGGAGGGGGGGATAGCTCCAGTCTCGTTACGGCAATTGCTAGATAGTATACTTCAAAATAAGATTTCCGTTTTTATTCTATTTTTAAAATAAGTTAGGGTTAGGTTAGGGTTTAGGTTAGGGTTAGGTTGGGGTTAGGGTTAGGTTTAGTATTAGGGTTAGGTTTAGTATTAGGGTTAGGGTTTAGTTTTGCGTTAGGATAGTTTTTTCTACGTTATAAAAACGGAAACCTTATTTTGAAGTATACTATCTAGCAATCACCGTCTCGTTACTCTCGTGCCGCTAAAGGGGATGGACTCAGTGGGGATGGACCACTGGTTTCCACTGGTGAATACATTTATTTGGCTATGTATAGGTAATCATGCGATGGCGCGAGTACAATTAGGGATTAATAGTACGAGTGATGTTTGGAAATTTTGCCAAAATTGGACGAGCCGCCGGGGCGAGTCCAATTTGGCAAATTTCCAAACATCACGAGTAATAAATCCCTAATTGTACGAGCAACATCGCATGATTACTTGTTTATTATTAGCATGACAAAATTGGATACGTACTTCTCAATGTCAACATCATATTCTCTCGCCAAAGCCCAGTCCTGCCAGACTTTCAACCAAAATTTGGTGCTTTTGTTTGTATTTTCATTTAGTTCTTTTGTTCAAGCAAAATTTGGTGCTTTTGTACGTATTTTCATCTAGTTCCTCTAGGGCAATTTCATTCCACATCTGTGTTTAAAATACCTTTCCGCCATTTTGTTTGTTTTGGGAAAATCATTAATTGTACTGCAGTACAACTTAACGTACAATTTTTTATATAACGTTAGTGAGTCCAGGGCATCGATACTCCCTCAGAAAATTTGAAGTTTATAGGAGAGGCTATTTGATAGTAATATAAAATGACTATTTTACCTGAAGTTATTTCTATTTAGGCATGCATGGAGCGAATTGCCCTGTTTGCCCCTCCCCCCTCTGGATGGACACTCATTTATTTCCAAGTTAATGACGTCCTAACTCAGTACAATTTATTAATGTATTGTTTCCTTTTTTACTGCATGTAATTAGGGTACAGATCTGTTTATATGTGGGGTAAAATCGACTTGTCTTAAGCCTGCCGCACATGAAAGCAACTTGCTGAGCTAACCGCCTCGCGTGGCAGCTAGCTCAGCTATGTATTTTCACCGCACACGTTGGGAAAACTATACTCAACAACAACATAATTGACAAAATCATTTGCATTTTCCTCCATTGTGTTCAAAGTCACATGAAGAAACTATGGTTTCTCATTGGCTAATTGATTCAAGCAGCTCAGCACTAAGCTCACAACATCCGCAGACGCTGAGACTTTTTTCTCGCGAGGTGAAAAATATCAAACACGATAGATATTTACCTCAATGCCTCGAGAGGTCAAATCCTCACGAAAACCATCCACACACGAGAGAAACTTGCTGAGCTAACTGCTACACGAGGCAGGCTTAATGAATCCCAAGCCTGGTACGCCACAGATGAAGTCATTTTGTCATTTCACCCTTTAATTCGACATTCTGATGGATGGCAGACTATTTTTGAAAAGTTGCTTATTTCAGTATTTATTCAAAAAGAAGCCAAAAAGAGCCAAAAAATAGAAAGAAGTCAAACGAAATTTTTAGTAGCCAAACGAAGTCAAAAGAAGCCAGAATCGAGAAATTTGGCTCTTTTAACGCCAAACTGGCAACCCTGAATAGCGCTAAAGAGTAAATTTCTTGGAGTTTTTCTTCAGAATGACTTGAAATGGAAAAGTCATGTTGACAATATTACAAAGAAAGCTGCTAAACGGTTATATATCATACGTGATCGGATAACAATCTTCAATTAATCAGATCAATCCTATAATATAGTTGCCCAGTCTGGCACTCGAGTCTCCCAACTTACTTGTCCGATAAAATCGAGTATTGTAAGTTGTAAATAGTTGTAAATAGTTGTAAATTTAAAAAACTCATTAATAATTCATGAAAAAAACACAAAGAAAATTCATAAGCGTGTCGTATCTGTATATATGTGATACAGATTCATGTTGATTTACATAAACTTTAACTTTGATTTTCTCGGCTTAGACAACGTTTATTTTTAAAATTACTTCGCCAATGAACTCATAAGATGAGTCGTTTTTTAAGCCATTTACAACATTCGCGTCCGTGTTGTATCGGATATACAAACTCTCGCCTTCGGCTCGAGTTTGTATATCCGATACAACACGGCCGCTCATGTTGTAAATAGTATATATATATTATATATATATATATATATATATATATATATATATATATATATATATATATATATATATATATATATATATATATATATATATATATATATATATATATATATATATATATATATATATATATATATTTCAATCCGGAGAACTTTAATTAATTATAATATGCCTGGATTACAAATCTTTAAACTTATATATATATATATTTTAAAAACTCATTAATAATTCAGGAGGAAAACAAAAAGAAAAATCATAAGCGTGTCGTATCTTTATATGTGATAAAAAAATCATGTTAATTTACATAAACTTTAGCTTTGATTTTCTCGGTTTAGACAAGGTTTATTTTGAAAATTACTTCGCTAATGTACTCATCAGAAGATGGGTCGTTTTTTAAGCCATTTAAAGCACTTGTAGTCGTGTTTTATCAGATATAAAACGCTCGGCTGCACCTCGCGTTTTATATCTGATAAAACACTCCTACGCGTGCTTTAAATAGTTCATATATATTCATATATATATATATATATATATATATATATATATATATATATATATATATATATATATATATATATATATATATATATATATATATATATATATATATAGGATTTTCTAGATGTTAATGTAAAGTATTTCACCAGTTGGTGCCATTTTACATCCCCCCATCGTTATTTATTATTTATTTATTTATTCTATTATCAATGGCTATAGTGCGAAACTATAGATGATCTGTGGTCTATATAACCGTATTACTATGCTAAAAGTCTAATTTTGAGATTACTATATTGTCTATATGTACACATCATCACTGTTTTAATGACAAACCTGTGCTAAGACTACAAATAATATCATTCTGAGTTATATTTGTCGCACATTATTACCCAATTTGTATATATTTGAACATGTTGGAATATTGATGATTGGTGTCGCTATTTAACTGCGACTCTAGGAAGCAAAGACAAAGTGTTTGTTATTTTAGGAAATCAATCATGCAAATGTCCACCATCGGCTGTTTATGGTATTTAGTCATGAAAAGTATATCCTTAAATAAAGATGATGCTTCTCCCATTTACAACAGCAACTGGACCACTTGGATGAGATGTGATGCGTGGCTCCCATTGACTTTCACTCCAGTTACAAAAGAAGGTCGTGGCCTCCAGTTCCCCTGCGTCAGAATAGCAAAGAAGGAATAAAGATTTTTGTCTCGCGTCTTTGGTTAGGACAATTATTTTACAATTCAGATACTGGAATGCCACCCCACGGACGTCGTGACCTTCTGGTACTATTATTGTTGATTTCTTCGCTCCTTCCTCTGTATAGATATGAACTGCTCTGGCATCTGATCTTATCATGATTTCATTCTTGTTAGAAACACACAAGATGGGTACACATGTCGAGTCTAGTTCAAACTTGCATTTCAACTGTCCTGTATTCTCACAGACGTACACATGTGGATCGTCTTTTTTGGTCATGATGATATCACTGTTACTGTTCATAGCTATCCTCATCCAGTTATGAACTGTTGCGTCCAAGAGATCAAACGTGTAGCTGTGTTTAACATCATAATTCTCGTCCAATACATACAGTACGTAACTGTTCATCTCGCCGTTTTCCGTAGTTGTTTTAAGCCATCTTACAAGATAAACATTGTTATTTTTATCAATAGCAAGTTCTGCAATATATTGATGCAATTGGCTGACTTCCCCTTCTCTGGGTTCGGGTAATGTGATCACCTTAATTTCATCTGTTTTAGATATAACTTTGATGCTGTCATTATACCGTGCAATTATCTCGCCATGACCGTTAACAGCAGATACAAAAGGATGTATTTCTTCATTAAGTACCAGTTTGTTGGGAGGCTCAAGCAATTCTTCACCCCAAGAGGTTCTGGCCGAAACCTCCTGCCAATGCAATATTGGGTGAAAACTACGATCAGCAAGTTCAATTGTTGGCCAGGCAAGTAGAAATGAATACTTAGTACTGAATTTCGAAACAAATTGAAAAAGGACATAATGGATTACCATAACAGATTTCACGTGCTCTACTCGTTCTGCTTTATTAAACTGCGACTTGACTCCGCGTTTCAGATAAACTGAGAATATCTCACGGACAGCGGGCAAACTTTGCAGTTCTTGGAGAAATGACAAACACCCTGTAATGGCGGTTTGAGGACTATCGAGGTATTCCAGTATTTCCGAAACTAATCGTAGTTTCGCAGCAAAAATTCTATCTTTGATAGTTAATGATTCATTACAGAAAGCATCGGTTGCTCTCTTACGGGCTTCCTCGAATCTTTTTTTGGCAGATTCAAACTCATTATCAGAGCTGATTTTTAACTTTCCCATGGCATGAGAAAGTTCCAAAGCTTCGTTTAAGACACAAGCCTCACCATCGCTCGGCATTCTTGCCGTTTCGCCACGATCATCTTGAGATTCGTTCAGTACAGTTTTCTGCTCGTCCTTTGCTTTATCAAGAGTAACACTGAGTAAATCAACGCCTTCCTTTAAAAAACGATAGCTGCTAAGCAAGTCTTTACGAGAAAGACCGTCAAGTTTGGTTTTGATGTCGTTAAGTTCTCGTACGAGTATCTCGCGAATTTTTGCACCTGTGACATCACCGTGTTTCAGTTTACCAGCAGTCGTGTCGCGAACTTTATTCCAGAGTAAACCAATAGTTGTGCTTAAAATGCTTGTGACGATGGAGGACATACTCAGAAATAATATGAAGTGAGCTAAGATTAAATAGTCAATATGTCTAAGCACAATCGCATTGCGAACTTCTGTACTGAAATATATATTATATACGGACTACAGGTGTATGTCTATCTATACGTCATATTTAGGGTACTTCCTTCCTGCCACTTCTGGCCCACTTGAGTATAGGTAGTACTATGTGAAGATGTTTGAATATAAAAGCTGAGGAAAAAAGACCCCCTGTTGATCTAAAAGTTTATTATTCTCAAGAGAAAATCCAGCTCTTCCTGTAACTGCTAAGTAGAAACAGTGGCGGACACTATAGGGGAGAGCTTTAACGGATAGCTGAATAACTGCATAAAAAAGTTGTAACAACAGTTTTTCAACCAGGGGTTGACTTATTCACATTGCAAAAGACAGATTGTACGATTTTAATTATTTTTACTGTCAAAATATTTATATATTATTTCTATTTACAAGCTAGAGCAGATGGGTAAATGGAGTAGAGGTGTGCAAATCCGATCCGAAACCAATCTGAATCCGATCCGTTCGGATTTCGGAACCAAAATATTCATTTCGGATCGGAATGATAAAGTTGTTTCGTAGTCGGATCGGACTTCGATATCCGAAATAAAATGAATTAATTATCCACGCATTGTCGCAAGAATTAATTATCCGTGCATTTATCAAAGCATCATCGCGGTTGTCGCTGCATTATTCGTTTGATACTTCAATTGGACGTCACTTTGTCAGCTTCTTGACATATATTCCTTGCTTTTATATTTATTTGGTTAAACATGTCAACTTGAATGAGAAATTTATTTTATTAAAGAATTCTTCGGATCGGATCGGAATTCTTTTTCAGTACTCGGATCGGATTAGACAATTTCGGATCGGATTTTAATCATTAGGCAATCCGCCTTTACTGCGATTATAAACGGATTATAAACGTCCAATCCGATCCGATGCACACCTCTAGTAAATGGAGACCATTGTTAAGGCCAACCTCGCCCGTTTCCGCGAAAACGGCCCTGGGATGGGCTGGTCACGTGACACCCAGAATTTCTGGGTGTTTTGATACGATAATTTATGTGAAATTAAATCTTTGTTTGTTTACGAATAATAAATGTGAAGTAATGAACTATTTTCCAACTTTATATTCGTCTAAAGACGTTATTTTAAGTGCAGTATCTTTGCGTAATTCTTAAAAGTCGGACAAACACATAGCACGGCAAGAATGGGACGTAAGTGAATCTCGACTGTACTCTCCATATTTTCTCACGTTTATCGTATAATTTGAAGACAAAAAAACTTTAAAGCACTGGAGTTGTCTGAATACATTATACTGCAAATTAAAGAATTAATGCGTTTTTGAACAGACCAATGGAATTGTAGAATTGATCACCCGATCCCAGGGCCATTTTCGCCGACCTTCAGCCGTGGAGACAAAATGCCCTGGGGACGAGGTTGTATTTTGGGTTTTCAGTGTCATTTTAAACTGTCAAATTGACTATTGTTGCGTTATTTGGGATAGTTGCGGTAGTACCCTTGGGGATAAATTAAAAACTCGCTTGAGTACTGACGTCATTTATAGTTATGATACCAAAGCTGACCACCTGTTTGAAAAACTTGCTTGGAAAAACCTCATTACAGCATTGCTATAAGGCTATAATGGTATATAAATATCTGAATGGCCTCGCATCTAACGGACATGCTTGTTGATCGCAGTAGTATTTACAAATTCATTTTCACACCGGAGGCAAATGATATAGTTTTACCTCAACCACGCACAAATATACACTATAGTAGTGTGGTACTGTGGAACACCCTTCCAGCCGAGTTACGACAAGCTAACACGACAATAAACACGTTACGCAAATTCAAATCTGATTGCAGCAACTTCGTACGATAACTTTCCAATTTTAACCTTTATATATTAGTAACATGGAAAACAGGTACTCTTATAAATGTATATCTATATAAAATTTGTAATATGTATTTTTTTATTGCGTTCTATTCTATAATTGGCGTGTAAAATCCTGATCAGTTTACCGTGGTTAAATAAAGTTCACTTGCTTACTTACTTACTTACTTGCTTACTTTGTCTTACTTACTTAAATAAATAAATACGAAGGCTTATGAGTTATGATTTCTTAACAGACAAAAACTGACAAACTCACACAGGGAATATAAAACGAGGCCAAACTTTGTTTGGGCACCGCAATTCCAATAAGGAAATATGGTCCGAATATGGAATCGAAAATTTCGTTTTGTTTGTTCTCGTTTTAATGACATGAATCCTGCTAACACTTCTAGTATCGTAGTACGGAGGGACTAACAAAATAAAGGCTAAACAATTTACAACTAACAATGGATTTCTTTTTATCCACTGCAATTTATTATAATAATTACACATTTTTAAAAAGACTAACATCAATATAATGTGAATGTTGTTATACTTATTATATATATACTTATACGAATTACGTATACTCAAATAAACATACCGTTATATGGATTATTTTTATAATTCTTGAATTGATGCTTATTTTAAATGTTCTACAAATGACAAATGTGTAATAATTTCGTATAATATTCATATATAACGATTTACATAGCCTACACCTTTTTCATTTTGCTTTTTCCGCGACGCCCTCTCCTCTGTACCCGAGCAGGTCGAGGTTCAGAATATGTTATACACTAAAAGATAAAATTATACACTAAGGGTTTTGCTTTTTTGTGTGTTTGTTTTGACACTTGGTACATAGTAAAATATTTATTCGCCTTGGGAAACATTTGCAGTCTCGGGTCCACAAAACATACTGTTCCCCAGCCTAGACCAAGGGCCTTTAACATTGCATTCTTTCACGAAGTAGTTCAATGCTGGGTAAACGAAAGCTTTAAGGGAAATTTACTAACAGCATGTTCATTAACTCATAAAGTTAGTTGCACCGTACTTTATTATACTCTGTCTATCGCCAGACCATTTTTCTCATCTATAGGGGAGAGTGCTGGCACTCAATGGGTTAACATGGAAATATTTTCCCAAAAAGCTTGTCTGTACCAGTTACATTAAATTGTAACCCGGGGTTAGCCCAGGTCAAGATTTGAACAACTGGCCTCATGCTGGCTGACAATAATTTAGACGAACCTGTTCATCAAAGAAATTCTTCAGCTGCTCAGCACTACACTTGATTCCATTTCCCTTTATTGTTTCTAACACATCAGAAACAGAAATAGGCTGAAAGAAACAAATAAACTTTTTAAAATATACAAAGTATACTTGAAGCAAACGCGAACGCTCTGCGGAAAGTCGCGTGAGTTCTCTCCGGGTACTCTTGTTTCTTATGGGGGGTTGGGATTAGCCCCTATAAGATGGGATTAGCCCTTAGCTGAACTTTCCCTAAGATGGAATTAGCCCCTAGCTGCGATTTTTCACGAGCAGCTAGCATGAGCTATGGCTCGCTATATTCCGAGGTAATACTTATATATAACAATTATAGTGGGAACCAGCAGCCTGAAACGTGCGGATCTGGTGAAACCAGACGTTATTAGGGCGCTGTAGATGCATATGTCGCTGGTATGATTTTGAAAACAAGTATTATCGCCGCTTGAAAATATCGCCATGTCAAAATTTGAGCATTGTTTTGCACCTGCAGTGGTCGCCGTTTCAACGACGTCGCCTGTCGGGATTTACCCTAAAAGGGCCTCGTTAGTGACAAAAATCGCAAATTCATGTGATTGATGTGAGCGCAAACCCGCCTCTACGAGATTTTATCACTTTTACTGTACATACCATGAATTTTAAAATTTTGAAATAAAGTTCGTGATCTTGGGTCAGGAACGACATCAATGTCTTCGATAGATTTGACGAGGATTGCTAAATCACATAAAGTAACATAACAAGCATTAGAAATACTGTTCATGAAAGACCTGCAATATCCCACGGTACAAGCAGGCAAGCAAGCAAATTGCCGTATGACTGGGTGAAGCCAAGACGGCGGCCTAAATTGACCTACAGAGTGGTCTCTTGTAGGTATAAAACACGCGTGTTTTTCGCGTGGGCTTTGCGGGAGCTGAAAAGTTTTCCGACCGATGTTTTTCAATTTTCGCACTTAAATGCTCATTTTTCGCAATGCTCTCTCTTTTCTCTGATAGAGATTGTTGAGTCCAATTCTATTATACATTTTGGATCTGAGCTATACTTAACTACAGGTCTAGTTAATAACCAACATTAGATTACTTTTTATCTACTTGCACTCAATATATTTATTTATTTTCTATAATCTGAAACTAACGGTTTGTGGTCCCTAATACCAAACAAAGAGATTGACAGGAAATGTGGCTAATGGTCGTATGAATAAGAGAATACGCGTAAGGCACGCGAACAGTATTGAATTTGTAAGATATAACTAACAAATGATATATCCATCAAAGATAATGCTATAATACGACACAAAAGTAGGGGTGGAGTAAAGCATGGGACACCCTGTATAATATTATACATGCAGTACCTGGGACAACATTTCAGAATCATCGGAGGGTTGTTCTTCCTCGTACCAATTCTGTTCACTGTCACTGCAACTAATGGATTTCAATAAAAAATGAATTACAAAATAAGTGTGGTATCTTATTATATGGTAATCGCGTGTGATTGTCGTTGATGCAGCAAAACATTTTACCCCCAAAAAGTTCAAGTCACTCACACACTATGGCCTTCTATTTGTATTTCAGCGCTTTTTCACATGTGAAGACTGGAACATAGGCAATTTGGGGGCGGGTCGAAAGCGAGAAAAAGAAGAGACATGACCACGCATCATGACGTCGCCATGCATGGGTCATGCCTGTTTACACTCCATTAGCCCAGTCATGTTATTGAAGTCGATTAACCTGCAAAGTAACTGCCACCTGCAGCAAAGGCCCTAGGTCTAGGCTGATGTAAAGGATCAATAAATAATGTAAATAAAGACTGTTTTCTGGGCATACAACACACTGAACCATGATAAAGATACAGC